ACGCGGGCGAAGTCGAAGTAAAACAGATAGTCTGTAATAATTTGGGTTCAAGATTTTATCATAGAGTTATTAACTTTCCCAGTGTCAAGAAAGTTGATAAGTGAGACGTGTTTTCTCAAGACCGTAATATAGATTTATTTTGTATAATCATTTAATCAGGGCAAATAAACCAATCAAGTTTCCCATTGTTGATAGAATTTTTAAAAATTCAAAACCACGCGTGACAATATTTTCATACGTCATACGTTTCGTTTTCCACAATATAGGAAGGTACTGAACTCTTATTGCTTTTCTCAAAATCATAGTCTTAGCAATAGCTATAAGCTATAAGCTATAAGAACGTTTTATTTGAAGAAAAGTGAATAATGATTTTTTTTTATTAAATATTTTGGTTATTAGTTTTCGGAATAGCTTTGTTTATCTAAGTTTGGGTTGGCCCACAATTAGCAATTAAAGTTAGGGTAATGTCAGCTGTGATGGGTATAAGTGACTACAAATAAGAGCTCGGTGGCGTAGTAGATAAGTGGCGCGCTATCGTTGTTGTTACGCAACTTTCGCAAGGGTCGGTCACGGGATGGGTGACGGGTGATTACTAAACCGAAAATTAAGTTTTTTTTATAGGTACTTAAAATACACGTGATTCTCCCCCTAGTCTTAAATATCACCATGTATCACCAAGGAAGGGGAATGCTAAAGTTGGCGCGATAGATTTTGTGAAATTTGAGAATAACCTCAACCTTAACTGCAATTAAGGTGCAATCTTACTTTAAAGTTAATTTATAAATGACGTCACCTAATCATCACTTTTTGGCAATTTCAATAACACAATTATTTGCATGTCTGTCATTGTTATCAACCCTAAATTCTATTTGGTTAAACTTAATATAATTCAGCCGCATTAAAAGTATAATATTAAACAAAGTATACTGTACGAAGGTCCCCTCAATAAGTAATTCGACCCGACCCTATTGCATTATCCGGTTGTCGAACTTCCATCCTTTTGGCACTCTTCCGTATAACACGTTGTTGATGCGGAAATTGGCAATATTAAGTGGGCGGCTAAATGTTTTAGTTAGTCCTTATTTATTGTACGATATTATCAAGTATATAATCCATGTCGTTGAACTGTCTTTGCTAATGTAAACCCCAAAAAGAAAAAACGAGACTAAATAAATATACCTCCAATGGGGCGTATAGCTTTTTACGAATTACAGTTTCAGAAACTTTTTTCGAATACTCGAAAACATAATAGTTTTCGAGTATAATTCTAAATGTTTTTAATTAAAATTCACGGTGAGAAAGTTATACAACTATTTATCAACTTGCCTTGTAAAAAAATAGTTTATTTATATGAGAAGAAATGAAGTAAAACAGAGATACATAATAGAAAACGGCAAATAGAGACAATTTATCTTATTTTGGTTGGATAATAGTTAAAACCTGGTACTAAAACTAGTCCTTATTTTATAATATATTAATTAATATTTTATACGACGGTTTATGTAATTTCGCATTATTAATTTCGGCTCATTTGAACTGTAACTATTTGTTTGTTCAAATTCAACTGAAAAATAGCCCTTGTTGCGAGTCAACAAAGCCCAAAATTACGTCTAACCACGCTCTGTTCTCGATATAAAAATAAAAAAGAAAACTGGCCTTATTCACGGTTGTATGTAAAGCAAAGTAATAAATTTCTCTAACTTCATTATTTCTAGACCTTGTAGTTTAGACGATAAGGGTGAACGTCCAATTTTACAACAATTTTTGAACCACTTATATGGATATCAATCTCTATAACTGTGTCTGTTACTCCTCATACTTACGGAAAAGTGGCATTTTAATTTGTTATATTTCTATCCTTGTTTCAAATTAAGGAACATTTTTGCTAATCTAAGTGTCTATATACGTACTTGAATTTATTCAAATCGAAAAGAATTTATTTTCGTCGAAATCTATAGAGTAGAGGGTGACCTTCAGAAAAACACACTTCATTGCACCGCAGGAAACACAATATAATAGTTTTTTTACAGGCTCTCAAAGCTATATAGATTGATATTTTTCTTCTGATTGACATTATAAAGGACGATCACGTCGACGTGTTGTTGTTGAGTCAGTCGACATTTGACCTTATTTTTTTACTTTTTAAACCCATTTACCGTAACTTTTCCTTTTATTTGGTTTTGGACGAATAAATAACTTCCAAATAGTATAGTTAAAAATGAAAAAACAATATTATTTTCCTAATTAGCTTTCCGCCAGCGAATTCGCTCGCGTGGTCCTATTTGATATAAAACCTCCCTCTTTATACAAATCTGTCATATTTCTTTACTTGGTTTAAATCTTAACATATTGAGAACAGAGTTCAAAATCAATTGCGAAAATTTGACATATTATGGTAACCTAACGTGCTGCTGGGCGTACTTATACCCTTTTTCATGGGGAAAATTTAAGTCACATTGTAGCCGAGAGAATTGCGCAGCACTTATAAAATAATCGTAATAGTTTGAGAGTAATTAATTACAAACCGTTTTTGCCGCGCAGTACAATACACTCAGTCCCTTTCTCATTTACGGGCTTAATGAAATATACAGGAACAGGTTTTTGGTTTTTGGATATCATATCCTATGAAAGAGCTTCGAAGACTAAGAACAAATAAAACTAATTGAAAAACAAACATGGCCGTCTTCCAATAAGTGATAATCGCTGAAATCTGCTCCTTACAGATGTTCGTAAAAATGCTTTTTATTTTATTCCATTCGAGATTCAAATTGCAGATTTTTTCGGGAAGAATTCGTTTATTGAATCTTCTGTAAAGTTTTCCTCTTCTGTGTTAATATTGACTAGATAGGTACGAGTTTTTAACGTCAGTTTTTGCTATTGAATGTCTAATATTGTTTATGAATACTCTTAGTCATATATATATCAATATTTGTAATTTTTATAATAGCCGCTAAGCTTGTACTTATCACTCCCACGGTCTTCTTTTTAATCGGTGCTGAAATTATTCGAGATAGATACATGGTTTTTAAAATTGAATAAATCGATCTGAAAGATATCATTACAGTTATTACTTTGATGAATGTGATAACTCAATAAATTAATTATCAGTTAATTTAACCATTATTTATTAAGTTATTTTATAAGTAGCATAATTATTGCAATGATACTGAATCTACGCGTGACCGATTTTAACGTATCGTTTGACTCTATACGTCTTCTTAAATATGAACATGAAAAATCGTTAAGTTCGAATCGAATAGTATAAGTACTATTGTTAAGTTTTTTCTATAGTAACTATGTAAATATTAGAAAACATCATATAAATAGGTCAGTTCCCAAATAAAGTAGCTAAAGAACTTGTATTATGGTATTTTATTATGCATAATAGCATAAGAAGAAGAAGAATAAGAAGTAGTACCTACGCTATAACGTCTGTTACCTGATATAGAAAAGTCGATTATCTGTTTCGATCTCAGACTGAAACCAATGTACGAATCATACCGCCATGGCGGTATACCTATTGAATATGATTTGAAATCTTACTTATGTAGTTTCCTTTACGGTGGTAGTGGTGTTGTACAAATGTCAATGTAATGTTCGAAGTAGATATATTAGTGCTAGAGTCTTGTCGGCCAAGAGAGTGTAATTTGTAAATTTGTTTGTATAACCGTAAAACCTCTGGAAAATAATAAAAGGGTTGCATCCTGGAACCAATCAGTTTCTTAATCTAGACATGCTGTCTAAATTTCCGTAAGGTCACGAATAAAATTTATTTTATGACCTTGACCTTTTTGTAATTTGGTATTCAACAATAGGTATTCAGCTAAACTAAAAAAAACCATTGGCAAGACTAGCCTGGTCATCAATCTAACCACATTTGAGATCTCCTACATGATTCTACAACATTTTTAGACAACACTGAGATCTTTAAACAGAAAATTAATTAATTGAGGTAAGTCAAGACCTTTCGGTGTCCACTCCACCTACGCACGGTTCTGAGTCAGCTTGTTACAGCGTAAGGTCAACACATTCGACCTACGTAGTTAATCTACGATGAATTTCTATGTTTTTCTTTAAACACTTACGAGTGACTAGTCTTTGAAGAAAAAGTAGTCCTTGATATAATTGAATTTCAATGGACATTTATATACTTGTATAGATCGATTTCTAAGTAAAAAACTTGCTTTATCATCTGCTTTATTTGAATTGAAAAACACTGAAGCCGAGTAGCTCGTACGCAGGATTCAAGGTGCCGCCATTTCTTCTTCAAGGTGTCCACTCCCGGGTTCGAAAAGCAGCTATTCTTTATTGTCTCAGGTTTGGCTATTATTGCACCTTCGTTGCTGCTGCATAGTCCAAGTGCTTTATTATCAGAGGTCGGAATTAGGTAGAGTTATTTATGTACTTGCATCGAAATGTTGATATTAATGTGGACCTTCCCGGGTTTTCTAATGGACAATCTTGGACATCTTTGGATATCCGATGTCATTGATGTAAGTTTGGCAACGTCGTGCGTGCAGTATTTCAAATTGTGTAAAAGTAAATAACTTTTTATTTTTTTTATTTAAAAAATCACGGGATTTTTTCTGCTCTTTATAATTAATCTCGAGATTTGAGGCATATCCACTTTATTCTTTCGCTGTATGAAATCAGTGTAAGTACATGAATAACTCTACCTAATTCCGACCACTGTTTAATATACTGATTTTGTAATCGGAGCAATGTACTTATGTGATGTTATCCAATATTTATTTTATTTATTTATAGCTTCCTGGGAAATTGATAGCGTCCCTAGGAAATTGATTAGTGGGATAAAAAGAAGCCTATATTAGGTAATTAGGTATTAGGTAATTAGCCTAATTCAGGTTTAGAACTATCCGTAAATTATACTTCATCAAAATCCGTTTAGTAGTATTTGCGTGAGAGTTACTTAAATGCAAAGATTTTGTTGCATTTATAATATTATTATAACCTAAAAAAGAATTCCGTTTTGATTTTAGCCGTCAACCGAGAACCAGCTGTTCCATGTGCAACACATCAACGCGAGGTTCAGGCAGCAGTATAGACACCTGCGTCTGCTGTGGGATGAGGCAGGGCACACCAGCGAATACGCGCTCTACTTCAAAAACGACTCCGCTGGCTACTGGCAGGTCTATGATGGACAGAACGGTAATATGTAGATCATACATCATACCGAATCGAATGATTAAAATCAGTCTGACTCTAGCAATGATTTGAACAATGTTTTTTTGGTTTCAAATATGATGGAAAAATATGTGAGTCACTAAGGCAATTCTGCTATGTCAGCGTAATCATGGAAAGTCAATAGCGCTTCAACGTCGACCTTTTATGGAACAGTTCTTGTTACTTGATCACAAAATAATAACTATATCTGTCACTATTGCTTTGTGACGACGACATTGCACTAATAATATTGGAATTTAGATAGATAATACAATAGCAAAATGAAATAAGTTAAAACTATTGAGATGCGATTATGCTTACACAAAAGTTAGCAGATTTGAGGCCTACATATATAGCCAAGGCTCTTACAATAAGTTTTTATTGTGTACACCCAGTTCCACAATCGTCCATTAATGACGACTTTAAGCTTTTATGAATACTTTCGAAAAGGACCCCGCCCTTGCCTTATGGAAATTGGCTTTCTGTCAAATCGGATGAAACTATGATGAATGGATAGAGGAAGTCTTCCTGAGTAAAAGTCCTCATGGGCACTAAGCCCGAAAATCGAAACTTTTAGTACTTTTGGGCATTCGAAGTTTTTGATTTTGGATTCTAGCAAAATCAATAAATCCTTGTAGAATCGGCCCAAAGTTCAATTAGACATAAAAGAAAAAATACGTATCGAATATTTTTTCAAGACCTTTCGAACGACACCCTATTTGACCCCCCCCCACTCCCCCACCTACGGGGGTGGAAGGGGAGCGGTTTTTTGCGAAAAAGTTCTTTTATAATGTTATAATGGCCTCATGATTGACGGAACACTTGAGCCGTGCCCGATCGACCCCCCCCCCCCTCACCCACCCACCACACGCGGGGGCGGAGGAAGAGAAGAGATAAAAGAACTTTTTCGCAAAAAACCGCTCCCCTTCCACCCCCGTAGGTGGGGGAGTGGGGGGGGGGTCAAATAGGGTGTCGTTCGAAAGGTCTTGAAAAAATATTCGATACGTATTTTTTCTTTTATGTCTAATTGAACTTTGGGCCGATTCTACAAGGATTTATTGATTTTGCTAGAATCCAAAATCAATAACTTCGAATGCCCAAAAGTACTAAAAGTTTCGATTTTCGGGCTTAGTGCCCATGAGGACTTTTACTCAGGAAGACTTCCTCTATCCATTCATCATAGTTTCATCCGATTTGACAGAAAGCCAATTTCCATAAGGCAAGGGCGGGGTCCTTTGTTTTGGTTATTTTGCTTTAAAATAATGACAATTTTAATAGTTGTTTGAGCAGCTGAGTGTATTTAATGAAAAGGAATATTTGTTTTATATCACGCAATATCACCAACGTTCATTACAGTTTAATGATGACTTTAAGTTCAACTGAATGATATAATTTTGAAAATTTGTATCGGTAATGTCTCTTTAAACTAATCTTAATTATAATGGACGTTTAGACAATGGAGAGTGACTTCGCTAGGTTATCACGTCGTAATGAAGTACAATATTTTTGTCCTAAATATAAGATGAGAGACTTTATGTGTTTATTGGTTAAATTATATTAGGGCAACTGTTACGTCATAGGCACTTTATTACATTAGGAGAGTGAAGAAATTAATGATTTATTAAGTACTTTATATTAATTCTTCTTTTAAATCAGAGGTTCCCAAACAATTTTTTCTCGTAGACCATTTTTTTAAATACTGGCTTCGGTGGATCTCCCCTGCTACTAAATTTCTACCATATTCCCAAAATTCGACCAAAATGTGAAGATCGAACGATGGAAATTGGCGCCCTATTTTTATTTCACGCCAAAATAGACCCCGTTGAATCCCTCGTGGACCCCTGGGGGTCCACATGGACCACTTTGGGAATCACTGTTTTAAATACTCCATCGTATTTAATATATCTATTTATTTACACCATTTTTAACTCGGGAACGGCTGGACCGTTTTTAATGATAAATGTGTTTTTGGAGTTGTTTTTGTTGGGAATAGTATAATAAGTATAAAAATATTATATTTTATCAACAATAATTAGTAATTATATAAGACTAAAAAAATGTGATAAAAGAGATCTGTCATAACAAACCGCAACTGACAGTTCACGTAGATATTTTATCTGACATTCACTTAATGTTGTCTATGTTTATGGTTTATTTTTTTTCTGTAAATTCTAAATATACTCATTCATTGACTGTTAAGATAAGTTTATATATTTTACATTCAAACTTGGGCAGAACAAAGTTCGCCGGGCCTACTAGTAATGTAATAAATTTATATAATTACTTTCCCTATGCAAACAACTGTAAAGTTAGAGTTTTCGAAGTAATAATATTAATTTTATATCTTTTCGTTCTTTCTGAAAAATCTTCAACATATTATGAATTTATATACAAAGTTTATAATGTTTTTAAACTACTTTCAGGAACGCTAACATCCAGACCGAACTACCAGCAGTTCAGCGGAACAGTGCAAGTGTTGAAAGCAGTGCAGGACCATCTCGTTCTGAACTTCTGCCAGGAGCCAGTGAACGGAAAACCGGCTCAACTTTACTCCGTCCTGTTCTCACGCGAGCCAGGCGTCATGTCTAGATGGGAAATCGAATCAGTACACAATATGCTGCAGAATAAGAAGTTGTCGGTGGCTTCTAGAAGAATGGTGTGTGGTAACGGTGCTGAGAGACATTCACAAAGCATCGTTATATCAACATTAACTTGTTTATTGGCAGCTATTCTTGGAACTTCTTAATCATTGTTCCTAAAATAGTGTAGGCGGTTTGAGGTCAAATGATAAATATATATCTTTTCTTAGGAAAAGGAAACATAGTAATGATCTCGCTGAGTCTCATGATGAGTAGATAGCAAACAGTTATACCTATACTCTTGTTCGAACAATTATTTCGAGATATTTACGTTGATAATATTCAGTATGTTCATTGTAGATTTACATACACACATTGTGTTACCATAAAAATTATAAATCGCTTTAAACGCAATAAGATTTAAAATGAAAAATGTACATCTTTGCAAATGTATTCTTCATTGTTTCATGTAGTTGAGATCAATCATACTACTTATAATATACTTAGCAATAGTAAAGTAAGCGATTACGTGTGCTTATATTGATTGGTCACCAATATTGGTCAGATTGTTGATCGGAGCTGGTCAGACAGCTTTTATCGTCAAGATATGAGATAGTGTGGTTACGATGGCGACAGTTTAGGTATCGATAGTTGATTTTGAAAATCAATTGCATCAGTAACACTATAAAATTAGAGGTTTGGGGCCGTCCACTAATCACGTGATGTTTTTTTCAGCATTTTTAATCCCCTTCCCCCTTGGTGATACATGGTGAGGTTTGAGACTAACCCCCCCTCCCCCTCCAACCAAATCATGTGTATTTTTAGTACCCACAAAAATGTTAATTTTTGACGCAGCTTTTCAGTTTAGTAATCTCGGGGTTGAGGAAAAGATAAATACACTTAATATATTACTACACCCCACTCCCCTTGTGATCTTCCTCCCCACTTTCGAGTCTCACGTGATTAATGGATGGGCCCTTATGTGAGTGACATGAATACGTATTATTTGATCTCTGCATACTCAGCATGAACTACATTTTATTTTGCTGAATATTACTATGCAAATGCCAAGTACTCCTATTAATTGGATGTGGTCTAATTGCTCACGGTACAGCCTACACTTTATCAGGTTACTATATGTGGCTGAATTTTTGCAATTTATATTGAACCTGATAAAGCCCTGCAAATAATTTGCCTACGAATTTCATAATAATAAAAAATAACGCTTAGCCTTTTTGCAATAACTGGACATACTGCCGACTTTTTTTAAGCAAGCAAAAATATTATAGCATCGTCGACTATCAATTAAGTAAACTATCGATACTGTTAGAATAACTTAGGTTATGTCAATATCAAGTTTATCGATAATATAGATAGAGAACAGCTATCATTATTTAATTCCACTACACTTCGTGAATCTTTGTCTACCGGTATATGATTCAAAATATGTATTGGTCATCTAATCTAACATGGATTAAACTGTCTGTAAAACATTGTGCAACCAATTTCCTAGAATTGGAAACTTAATTAAGCAACATGTATTTATTGTAGTTTTGTCCATTCACAAATCATGATTACACGTTGTCTTAGTAATTTTGTAATTTTGATTTAATTAAGGCAATAATTAGATGGTTTGTTCCCAGTGAACGAGATAAAAATTACCAGTTATTTGGAAAATAAACATAGGAAGTTCCAACGAAAATTTCGAGAATGGGTTTCGACGAACTCAAGTTTAATTCAAGGAATACCATTTCAATTAAATAACCATCCAATGAGTCAAAGATTTTTTAACAAGAAATGTAACATATTATATGACGCGCATACAATAGGAAGAAGCATATATTTTGATTATAATGAAACTTTAGGTTTACAAACTTACTTGGTTCGTTATTTATAAAAAAATACTACATAATTGTATGATCAAAAGGCATTAAAACTAAAAAAGGTTTTATTAAAAAGAGAACTAAAGCGATTTCATTTTTTGTTTGAGTATTGAAACGTGTCCGAATAGCATGAAATTAACGCGTTTATTCAATACGAAATGTACCTACCATAACTATTGTAGCAAACCAAATTAATTTTTAAGCAAAATTACTGGGTACTTCATTTACATTATTCGATCGATTATAAATTAGTTTTCGTAGAAAATGTATTTTTAATAATTTTGTGGCAAGTCTAGTAATGTTTTACGTTGTTTCTTGTTTATGTAAGAGTATAAGATTAATGAGGTAATTTAAATAAGTCGTTACCAAAGATTAATTCTATATTTAATGTTAATAATTTATTATTATAAATATGTATGTCATATTATTTTAATATATGTATATTGTGACTCGAGATATTGTTTTTGATTTAAAAAACCTTTATGGTCTTGAGATCAGAGATATTTTTTTTAAAAGATATTTAATGGAAGATGTGCTCAGTAACGATTAAAATATATTAAAATAAATTTAATCGGCATAACTTTTATGCGTTGGAAGCTTTAAAAGGGCTTACTTATTTAACAAATTGTGACTATTTTATTCACAAATTAGAGATTCAACAACATATTTACAGAAGGAAAACCATTTTGATGTTAAATAGTATCTGTCAGGCTAGCAGCGTTACCCAGTCGATTTTAAAATGAAATGAATTCCTAATACATTGAAACTACCTACATACCAGGAAGTAGAAAAAATTACGCAAAATCTCAGTAACCATAAAATATTTTAACTATGTGACTACTCCAATAAGTCTTTGTAGTGATACAATCCAGAATCTAAATAATTATAGATCAAAATCAAACGTGTAATACCTGTCATATTCATCAGGGCGTTTGTTATGACAGTAGGTATGCGATAGCACGTCGTTTTATCCGCCTGCAACCAGTTATCGTTCTCGCTCTAGTAAATGCCGGTGCTGAACGACAGAAAAGGAAAGTGAGAAGTAAAAATACGATACCATGCTGCTCTAATGCAATCCAACCCGTATGCTCCTTTCTTCTTATCTTTCCACAGGGCAGGCCTATGCCTTGTGATAGTAATAGATTAGTGATGCTGATAGATTACCAAACCGAGGATAATTACAGATGTACGGATTGAGGAAACTAAAACTAAGCAACAATTATCCTATAAAGTTTCGATTAAGCCGATTTTCTCGCTCGTGTGACCACGGATTTACTTAAAATAGGCTTTTTAACAAATTATTAACACCAATTAGTGAACTTAATATCACAAATCCTATTTTAAGTAGTACGGCTTCACAATTTCATGTCACGAACTAGTGTTGGGTTATGGTGTACTTATTCCTAATATTATGCAATACTTGTTCCAAATATCTAATCCACCTAGTCTACCTTGCATTGGTAGTTTGGAATATGTATAACATTTCCTGATGGAGTGTATGAAAAAGATGAGAGAGAGTCATTCATGAAAGCATTTAAGCTAAATATTTTAGATAGATGATGGATTGATTCAAACTATTTTATTAGTGCCTGTCTCTCATTCATTACAAATTATATAAATTTTTCATTACAAAAATTTATACGCAATAATTGTATGGTACTATGGCGTTGACATTTCCAAAAGGATAAAAACCATTTCAAATAAAGGAAATCAAAAAATAGTTTTAATAATAAGTATACTAAACATTTAGAAACAAATAGGTACTTGTTTAAACTTAAAATCTTACGTCATAGTGTTAAAGTCGAAAATTGTGAAATGGGGAAGACCTTAAAGAGATACGGGAATGCAAATATAATCTCTAATATTTTACACCAAGGCTTAAAATTGTGTTATTTACCAACATTACTAGGTAGGTCAAGTTTTTACAATATTGAAATAGGTATCGCTTAGTATTGTATAATACGTGATACTAGGAAATGCGCCTCACCTCTACACGAAACATTTTTTTTCTTTTATTTTACTACGGCCTTCGGGTTGCGATTCAAATGTCATATAGGTATCCAACAGTGCTATAATATTGATACAAAAAGAAGATTGAAAAGGTTCGAAACGAGTCAAAATCACGTCAAAATAGAACGTTAACTGATTTATTTTAAGGTCGATTTACGCGTGAGAAATGTAATATGTATTTTAATATAGTATAGCTGCAGACGTACTTTTTGTTTCTTATATATGAAATATATATATATATATATATATATTATATATAGTATATAGTATATATATAAATCAATTGTTGCTCTTGAGTTTTAGTAAGGTTTGTCTTGCTACTGCTGGCCCAATTTAGCTGACTTTGGTTTTAAAATGTTTGTCGTAGTCAGTACAGCAGGTCATGTAGTTTCCAATAGATATTACTTACTTACGATAATTCTAGCAACGAATATCATTCGTGATCATGTTTATTGTGGGTGTTTGTAGTAGTAGTAGGCGTACGATACGTAATATTATACTACTAATTAAAAACAAACGAACAAATAGAAACTATGTCGTACAATCAACTGTAAACACAGTTTGTCCAATTAAAAACCAGCGTGTATCTTGATGAAACATTTGTCCACTTACCACTTATCTAGCAAATGTCGACTTTGTTCGAAACACATAAAGTTTACTGTGCTGTAAATAGCACATGGCAAGCTCGAATCGCGTTCACTGTCCTAATGACGTCACTGAAGCTAAAGAGGGAGGGTGGTAAAACGGTGATATTTTGAGTAACTAAACGGTATTTATTTACACTTTAGGTCATTATATACTTGTGAGATTTCGATAAATATTTTCTTTTTTCTATATAGGAAGGGTAGTAACCAGCGCTGCTGTCCCCTAAAAAATTTTACTACTCCTAAAAATTAACACGATACCTAAAGAGCTATTCCATTTCTTCGAAAATGCTGTTAAGTTTATTTTCGATATGCTATTATGACTTGAAAGAAACGCATTTTTCGGTGGTAGGATCTGACCTCTGATGCACAGATATTCTTCACGTATATGATATGATTTTAACAGTTATATATTAATAAGGAATCGAAATTTTCCGAATATTCGTTCGAGGACGATGTAATAGGCCCTCCGTCATGTTGATTTGCACGAGTTATACCAGAGTAATAGAATCTCGAACAGAAGCATGTAAATGCTAATACAGAGTATCAATTGGCAAGTAACAAATATTCGTAGAAGTTAATTGACCTCCGTCATATCAACGGAATGCAATCTTTCTATCAGTAAATGTTTCTTGCAGTTAGTTTGGTAAGACATCAAATCTTTCATAAATTTCTCGCGTTGAGCGTTTACACTTGTAACTGCGAAGGCTCTGATTGTTTATATTAATTTCCACATTTTTTATTGCTAGTGTAGGGGTCGACAACCTTTTGAAGCGGTAGAGCCAAAAGCTACAATTTACAATACTGAAAGATTTCGTTTTAATATTATTGAAATTTCTTTTCGAGATTTCATTATACTTATATTATGAAGGGGAAAGATTTGATTGTTTTTGAACGTTTGCAACGAATAGGCTCCAAAACTACTGGACCGAATTTAAAAATTCTTTTACCTATGGGAAGCTACATCACATGCGGTGAACAAAGGCTATATTTTATCCCGAAAAACAGCATGTAAAGAGATGAAAATGGGAATGAAAGTTTGTATAGGGAATTAAAACATTACCTTAGTAACCATGGTTTACTTTTCAATTTGCCATTATAATTATATCCATATCATGATATGAATCGATATCCAATTAAACATCTCCTTGGGACCACGCAGGCAAAGCCGCTGGCGGAAAGCTAATATAAAATAAACAAATTTGAAAATAGATTTCTCAGCTATAAGACAGATAAATCATCATCATCATCACCCCTTTTACGTCCTCACTGTAGGGGCTAAGGCCTTCCTTATGGAGGGTTAAGGAGGATGTGCCATGACCCTCCACGCTGGCCCAATGCTGATTGGAGGGTATTAACGACTGCAAATGCAGCCGGGACCAACGGCTTAACGTGCCTTCCGAAGCACGGAGTAGCTCGAGATAATAATTTTTTGGTCCCCATCCCGTGACCGACCCTTGCGAAAGTTGCTTAACGACCCATCCCGTGACCGACCCTTGCGAAAGTTGCTTAACGACAAAGATCGCGGGCCGCGGCGCTTATCCACTACGCCACTGAGCTACTCGTCTACTACTACTAGACAGACTAGACAGATAAATGTTTATACTTCTTTATTTATAGTTATAGGCAGGGTATCTCAATCGTGTTATGGTATAAATACACAATATTGGTAGATTACACGATTTAAAAAGTTTTGACAATAAACTATTTTTTTTGGAAATGAAATTGGAGATCCACAACTTTACAACGAAAGAAAGGGCATGTCGCACGCGAACCGTAGATTGCCAACTCCTGTGATATTGGAAACTTCACTTAATTATAATATTATCAGCAAATATTTTCAAATGTTTAGAGGATATCAGTTGGCGTATGAAAATTGCTAAAGAAAGCCAATGTTAACTTATTTGAGTTCATATTTTCATCTGCAATTCTAAAGCGAACCTTTATTTTTAATTTTACTTTTTTTATTTTTCTCATTTTGCCCCAAACCAGGCGCAGGTACCAATCTTACTATCTGGTGGGGATCAGAGTAAATTATATTATTATCGATATCGAACGTCAGACCGAAGATATTCTTGATTTTCGCTATTTCCCGTAACACACGTTTAGTTTTATGAACAACGTAAATTTCATTGCGACCACACAAATGTACTTCACCCTTTTTGTTGACTGCAATTGCACGAAACACAGTTGCTCCCTTTATATGAATTCGGTGATTAGTACCATTTTTTATCATAAACAATCCTGTTTTATTGGTTATAAAAGTGTCGCCTTCACCGTCTATAGCGAACTGATATATCTTCTCGCGAATATGAGTCTGTATTTCCGAATAATTCAATGTCTTATATTTATAAAGACGTTTTTTTGGAAACGTTATGAAATACAGGTGATCCTTGTAAAACAAATCCCAGACGTTATATTTATGTTCTAAATGGACAACTTCACTAATCGGATCTGATAAATTTTGTCTGTATATGCCATCACTGCCTCCGTAGTAGATGACGTTGTCTTTAACATTGATTGCAGTTGCGAAACCGTTTTTAACACCTTTTATAGGAACAGGAACTGGAGTACCATTTACCGCGTATCCAACTTCGAATGTACTCTCGTTGAAGAGTCCACAGTTGTAGCTAAAATACACAATCTCTTGGCGATTTTCCTTCGCATGATAAGCCAGCTGATATGGTCTATCTATCCCATCTATTATAATCTTACGTTCATGTGGTCGGTGGTCAATATCGATATTTTCTAAAATTCTTTCCTTTTTATCTTTGTCATGTTGAGCGAAAACTGTATGTGTGATTATTAATAATAACTGTAATTTCATGATCTGTTCTGAACGGTTCCGAAGCGTGCACTGATTTTTTAATACATATAGATTGTAGGTGGAATCAATGGCCTTGTGAAACAGATGGCCAGTTCAATTTCACATTATTTATTTAATCACCATTTGGTTTGGTTTTTTTATGTACTTAGTTTCACATTACCTAAAAGTTACCATTTATTTTAATGAAATTGCTAGTTTGTTTGTTATTTGTTAATTATGTAACAATGCGTCATTGACACATTTACTTGCATACGTCTATATTAACATAGATTTGATTGTTTGTTTGTTAGAATTGAATAGGTACCCAAACTACTCGACCGATTTTCAAATTTCTTTCATCTATGGGAGCTACATCATACGCTAATTATATAGGCTAAAATTTACACAGGTTTATGAATGAATGAATAAATGAACACTTTATTGTACTAAAATAAAATCAACATAACAATTAATAACAATAAACAGTACAATTGGCGGCCTTATCGCTAAAAAGCAATATCTTCCAGGCAACCAAAAGTTAGAATGGACAGTTACATAAAAAAGATGGGTAGTAAATGGTGTCCTACAGAGTTTATTCGCGAGAAAACAGCTAATATCTGATATATTACTCCCACGACGTTTATTAGCGATTCGTTTTTTTAATTGTCTATTTTTGATATAATAGGTATTTGATATGATAGGTAATTAATGTTATCTATTAAAACTGTCACCGTAAAGTATATTTCCAAGGTGATTGTTTTAATGTTTCAATAAAACATTTTAATTGAAACGTATTATATACATACGTAGTATATGTACGTATTATATATTTTTTAATCCATAGCAATTCTATCAATATGAAAGAACTCTGTTTTTTACGTTTTCACTTCTAAACCACGGAATCAATAAAAAAAAATGCTACATATAAATGGATCTTTGAAAAGTATATATATATTATAGTATTCATCGCGAAAGTAATATAGAAGATAAGAAAATAAAATAATGGGTTAGAAGAACTATATATTTACAACCGACAATGCTTCTGCGAGTTAAATTACTGGCGCCCAACGTGTTGCGTGATTGAACAAACGGCACACACACTCGTACACACGTATTTGATATACACCATTTTAATATAATCACAACAATATTTGAATATTGTTACTGGAATCAAAAACAACTGATACCAGGATAGCATGACCACGAAGGTGTATAAGAGACAAAGTGGATATGTTTCTGTCTCGTTTCTAAACTGAGAGGGTGCCACCCTCTCTGATAGACCCCATCCTTCTGTGTTTATCGTCCAATCGCATGTGTGTGTCGTATTACAATCCATTGATAAGTGCTCGGGAAAATCAATAATGTAAGTTGACAAGAGTTTACTTTTCCATAAGTTTTCCTTAATACTCATCTTTTTAACTTTTAACAAATGCGTCTTATAATATTTTATTATGTGTTAATCTTTATTATTTGTTTCATTAAATGGTTTATTGTTAACTAGTGTTTCTAATTTAAACTCCTATTATGTTATGTGTGTCTGGTTATGACGACGCTTTTTTCATTCAAAATCCACCACTTTTTACAATGAATGAAATATGCTTTATTGTACACCAATACAGGACAAAACAATCGAATACAATTAAATTAAAAGCACAATTGGCGGCCTTATTACTAAAAAGTAATTTCTTCCAGGCCAATTGGAGTGAGTAAATTTTGTGAATATAAAATTTATAAGAAGTTTCGTAATAACTTTCTAACAAGTTCTTAATTTATAAAAAATGAAGAAGTAATAAGATTTTTAAAAAAATTGTTACCTATTAACTTCAAAATATATTTTAATTAGTTAAAACCGTATAGTGAGGAACATCCTGTGGCACTATGCTTCCCTGGTAACGATTTATTCGCCATTTGGTTGTAGAGAAGTTGTCTCTCTACTATCATCATCTTTTCAGTTTTAAAAAAGGTTCTTTTCCTGAGATTTCTTTGAAGGACAGTGTGGTCAAGAAGAAAATACGCAAAATATCCATGACAACGTCGCAAAATCGTCAGCAGAGGTCGATTTGACTAGGTCAGTAGGAACCGTGAAGAGGTAAATTTAAATTTTCTTTGTATGATGGGATAGGGTGTTTAGGGGTGGATTTTCAATGGAATGGGGATTGATACTCCATACAAAGCATATGGAATGATGCTTGGAATATTTCACCTCCACGTAAACATTATTTCCCAGTACTGCGCGCTGCTTATGAAATATTTTTGCTATTTCAAAACGGCAGGAGCTACCATATCTCGGGAATATGAAATAGAAATAAAGTGCCAATTCTAAATATCAATCAGTTGTATTTAAAACGTACTGCATATCATGACTTAGAAATATAAACTTAAGTTAATTGAGAATATTTAAAATAGTAGAAAATTAATTAATATTGAACTAAATTTATACTTCGCAAGCACCAGTTGAAGAAACTGTAACTGTGCCTCTTACAAATGTAACACCATCTCTGCATTCACAACCATCCTGTGAACATAAAAATAAATAATAATAAACATACTTCTTATTTATTAAGAATAATAGGTAATTGATAAATTTTGGAGTCACAAAGCTAAATTATATTTTTCTAATGGAAATATTTAAAAAATAAACATTGTAGAAGGAAGGTTTAAAAGGTGAGAAAATTTGAAGAAATTGCAACGAAAATAGTATAAAAGAAACAATTCCGCTTTTTCGGTTCAGAAATTAAATTTATTAGAATTTGATACATTATGTAATTCTGAAGTGGTACGAAGTTTGCCGGGAGAGCGTTGAAATATATAGTGTTGAAGATGACTTCCATTTATTGGCAGATGTGTCAAGAATAAAATAATCTTAATAAATTAGGTATCAGATTATTCTTAACCATACTATTCTACTAAACTAATTCGATGTCAAAAGAAGCCTTATTAATCTATAAATTTGCAGCTAGAAGTCCGGAAAATGATACGTAATACTTAAGGCGACTTATCCGAAATTACCACTTTTCAGTCCAATTTTATTCAAGTCTATGGTAATGATTTCCAAATAAAAATTATTTTATGAAAATTAAACAAATAATCAATTGCTTGCTTTAAACAAAAATAAAAATTTCAGTGAAAAGAATCGCAAATATTACTCTATATAGGATTTGGATAGGTTTTCGGACTAGTATATTTTATCTAAACTATATAAACAAACATTTTCAAATCTGGGTTTTGATATATTCTGTTGATCACAAAAGATTTTTTTTATAACTGCATTTGTTTTTTGCATACGTGTCGAGAGTAAAGTGAGCGCGTCTTTACTCTCGAGGTATATTTGTTTGCGTATTTGTACGTGGAGTTACAAGGGAGCCTTAAATTAAACTAACGGGACTGAGATGTATCTACCTGGTTTTGCAAAAGGCTATTAAAAAAAATACTTACAAAAATGCTTTCAATTGAGTTGCAGCTCTGATTTTGCTCATAAAATTGCACCTTCTCTAGGTTGTGCTTAATAATCTCTCCGGATGATTTCTTTTCGTCGTCGCACACTAATAACGTCGGCACCAAACCGTGATGGTAATTCTTCACCATTAAATGATCGGTATGTAGATTCTCAACAACGTCGTGACTACCGAAAATTGCGCTCTCTAAATAAGCACAGTATTTGTCTCCTGTATTGCAGTATTTGTACGAGTTATTATTATGGGGCGTTTGTTTTTCTGCTGATTCGTTTTTCTTAGTGTCGTTTTCTTCTAAATAATTCTGATAAAGAACACTAGTTAGGCATTGGGTCTGTTTTCTGTGCGATTTTCTTATTTTTATATAGATGTCGGTTACAAACTGGAATTTCAAGAAATAGACTACAGCGTCGGAGATGCTGGCTGCGCCACTCTTATTACTTTTGTTGTGTATGAAGCAGAAGTGTCTGATTGGTGTCATCCCATTAGAATATCCTGGAAAATAAAAGGGGGTATGTATAACTTCTTAATGGCAGGAACAGGGGGCACAGGAACAGAAATAAACTATTTCTAATAGATTTTTCTTAAAATTTACGTCGATAATCATCGTCATTGATTGTCTTTGTGTGAATTTAGGATGCTGTAGTGTTCTATACCTTTTATAGCAAATAAAATAATTAGTAATCGATGCCGCAGATAATAGCTGCGACCGCCTAACTCTCTGGCCTTAATTCTAGCCATAGGATGTCATGACGATAATTCGTTTCATTTTACTACTTTGACACGTCTGTTTGGTGGATAAATTTGGGATAAATCACCAATTTAGAAACACTGCTGTCAAATACACATTCATCATTCTTAATCGTTCGTTCGCCGTTACTAATGTACATTTCAAAGTAGTAAAATAAAACGAAATATCGGCATAACATCGATAAGATATCGTATCTTTTGGCAAGAATCATGGCTAGAGAGTTAGTCGCAACCGTGGTTTCTCATTAATCCATATTTACCATGTCTGTTATTGTTGTGCAGCGAGCAAGGTGTGAGTAGAGGCGAATGTTCAGCCCTTGACCCTGGTGCACTGCGAGTACGACAGAAGTTGCTGTTCCACGTTGTGTCCGTGTATGGGATAGAGTGTGAGCCGGATTCCACAGACTGTTCCCATTTCGTTGACTCCCGTAAAGAGAAGAACGTCAAAGTTACTACGGCCTGTAATGGTTATGGCAATTTTTTTTTCACTATTATTATTAAATAATTGCCACATATTTGATAATATTGTATTCTATATGCAACCTATGGTGCATATAGCAAGGATATTCATTGCGAGAGGGCCCAAGGATATAGTAGACCTTACTGATTTTGGAAATATTATTTACCGTTATGGCATGGTCGATGACACAACGGCACAGGCAGGAACATATTGGTCCATTAGGGCGAAGAACAGAAAATAATAGTCAGGTATGAAGGAGGCCTTTATTCCGTGATTTTGGCCTGATTCTCAAAAATCAAATTAATTTAAGATAAATTATATAAATTTTCTTTATTCAAATAATGTAAACCATAAAATGTAATGAAATTCTATCGTAAATGTCATGAGAATTTATAGAAACCTTTTTAGTTTTTGATTATGTTATTTATTTATTTGAATTATGTGTACAAGCGGCCTATGAATTGTCTAAAATATATTTGCTTTAGCGGAGATTTAAGTTTTGAATAAAAGTATTTGAGAAAATCTAGGACCTATTAAAAATACTGTTATCATCACCCCTGAATGAGTTATTAACTTTTTGCAGTCTAGTGACAGGCACCGTTCATTTATTTTTATTTCTTAAAATTGTGTACATCATTTTATGTAGAAAACAAACTTATATTTTTACGAACTTACATTAAGTTCTCGTATATGTATTGCGAAGAAACAGTCACTATGTCTATTTCCCTATATTTCTCCCTTAAAGAGTCCCTAATCCTAAGATTATAAATTGACCTAATTGCTCTTCTCTGAAGCACAAAAATCGTTTGTATGTCAGCAGCATTTCTCCACAATAGGATTCCATACGACATTACACTATGAAAGTAATTTCCAGTATCTATGGAAGTTAAACTACGTATCTTCATTACGGTATTGCTGCAGAACTACGTCTATTCGACAATTTCTCAATCCGTAGTTTAGAATCTAATGTTATTCCTAAAAATACTGTGGTATCCACAATACCCATGTACTTATCTTTTATATTCACATTTATATCTAATTTTTTTAACATTTAGTAGTACAAATTATAGACATTTTGTTTTTCCTTCATTAAGAATATGATTATTTACATTAAATCAATGTACTACTTTAGCGATAGAATTGTTCACATCTTCGTTTAAAGCCCTCTTTTAATTTTAAACAAAAGTGAAGTATCATCCGAAAATAAAACTATTTCGTCATGATCCCTTATGAAATAAGGCAAGTCATTTATGTAAATTAAAAACAAGAAAGGACCAAGTATTGAGCCCTGCGGAATACCCATCTTAACTTTCGACCTAGGGGATCTTTTGCCCCATTGATATCAACCCTTTGCAATCTGTCAGTCAAGTATGAGACAATAAAATGTAATGAGTTATCTCTAAATCCATAATAATGAAGTTCCCTAATCAATGTTTCATGAAAAACACATTCATTGCCTTATACGGGTCGCAGAAAACACCTAACGCATCATGTGAATTCTCCCAGGCATTAAAAATTTCTTGTATTAACTAGACATCGACTGTATTCTTGTCCCATCTGTATTCCTCTTGAATTAAAAATATTGTTATAAATATCAAAAATAACATAAATCTTTGAACACAAACCATAGTGAAACATGCTGCAGCGCATAGAGTAGCGCAAAGTGGAAATCCAAAGCGCTGTGACAGCGCGCCGCCCAGCGCCGGGCCTAGCACTTCGCCCAGTGAATAGCAGCATGACCACACACCTGCTACAGCGCTGTATGTAGCCAAAGCTTCTGGACAGCCGCCTTCGTAACTACGAACCAAGTATAGGCGATGTTAATAGTATTTTTTTTAATAATGAAAAAAATATTAAATAATTAAGCTTCGGTGCATATTTGAAGGAAGGTATGTTGCTTCTCGTTAATCACGGAACGTCATAAATGGCAAATTATAAAGCAGACCAACTCTGGTGATGTTTAGGTACGTAAGCATCGCATCTCAATAGAATCTCATCGAATTGCATAATATTACCACTATACTAACTTTGGACATAATAACATTAAACTTCAGGTACCTCGCTTAACTCTCTAGAAATAGGATACGACATCTTAGCGATATTACAGCGATATTTCGTTACATTTTACTACTCTGACATATCTTTAATAGGCAACTAAGTTGGTAACCCTGCTGTCAAATCCATTATCATCAGTCTTTATCATTCGTTCGTAGATATTAAAGTCCTACCACATCACTCAACACTTACTGTTTATTTTCAAAGTTCTATACATATTTAGAAAACATTTTAATAAAACAAATGTTAAACTCACATTGAACTAGCCAGCACGCCTTGAAATGTTGGTAGTAATGTCAAAGCCACTGATACTCCTAGAATAGAGAGCGCTAACAGATCTAACCATAAGTCCCTGAAAGAAAAACAATAAAGTAAACGTATTGTAATTCAAGCTTAAAGATAAGCAGATAAAGCTAAACAAATCTTAGCATATTAAAACCAAAAAATCTATAATAAATATAATCTAAGGCAAATTGTATAAAGAGTACCTTTATACCACATAAATTGTCAGTGTCAAAAGGCCAAAGTTTAAGGAAAAAATTATTGAAATACCGTTTACCTGGGAAGTCCAGGTATGAATGGGCAAGGTCCTAGTAACAAAAGGCCTAGTGTAGATAGAAATAAGCCCCATACCATCATACACCAATGATTGTGGACCCTAAAAAGATTGTACAAATTTAAACTTGTCCAATTTTAGTAAAACTGCTTTGCATTAGTACACTAATAGTTGTAATCCACTAACAGTGCTACTTATAAAGAAGGTTTATCGTTGGAGTAAATTGACGCTGAGACTGCTCTTCGTATTAGTCCAAAATTCATATTATTAAACAGAGACGTAACAAAGGTTAACCTAGTTACAAGGTTAAGGGTTACAAGGTTCTACGGGAGTAATATTTGGTCCTAGAAGGTAGTAGATTTGCTTATTCCCTGTGTAATATGAATATGGACTAATACTAAAATTGCAATTTTAGCGTAAATTTACTCTGACGCTAAACCTTGTTTATAAGTGGCACTGTAAGAACGAATCATGTAACAAAATGGAATTTTAAAAAATTTACTTGTTTATTTATTCACAACATTTATACTGCTTATAGCTAATGCCTAAACCTTAACATATTTTTTTCATAATTTATTTCAATTAAAAACCTTACTTTTATATTATATTTTATTTTGATTTACCAACATTTAATACAATATTATGATAATCTCCAACCCTCAAATGCTAGTTTACATTTTTTTTAAAATTACTGTTTACTAAGAGACCATAAAAAGAAATAATGCCACAAAAAGTTTTTGAGACCTTTTTACGAAAATTACGCAGAAGAGATTTGACACACTTAAAAGTTTATAAGAGTAAGAACAGTCCTTGAAACTACTTTAAAATAGAAAAATAACATTACGTATACCACCATACGTAATGCTCTGTCGTCTAAGACCTCCCCTTTCTCTCCTCTTCCCACTCTCCGGGGCATTAGCCTCACAACAAAAGATAGCCTCAATATTCTGGGCATGGTTATTCGCAGCGACCTCAACCCAAAAGACCAAATCGAAAGCGTTATAGTTGCTGCTTCTCGCAGGCTCGGAATTTTAAACAGAGTGCGCCGGTTTTTTACACCCGAGCAACGGTGCTTGTTATATAAGACCCAGGTCAGGTCTAGCATGGAATACTGTTCGCATCTTTGGGATGACTCCGCAAAATATCTGTTGGATGCCCTAGACAGGCTGCAGCGCCGGGCAGTACGCATCATAAACGATGAGGGGCTAACCAACAATCTTGAGCCACTGCAAATGAGGCGTGATATTGCCTCACTCAGTGTGTTCTACCGGCTCTATTATGGAGAGTGCTCTGAGGAATTATTCAACATCATTCCCCTTTCCTCCTTCCGTAACAGGTTGACACGTGCCGGTGCTCGCTGCCATTCCAGGACTGTTTGTACTATACTATCTCGTACAAAAAAATTCGGCAAATCATATATTTGCCGTACCATTAAAATGTGGAACAGCCTCCCATCCTACATTTTTCCCATTAAATATAACCTTGGGTGCTTTAAAAGAGGTGTGAAAAGGCTCTTAAATAGGCCGGCAAGATAGTGGTGGCTACCAGGAGTAGTTTCGACTTCTGACAGCTGCTACTATTATTAGACTGTAATATCACTTCCCACCAGGTGTATTACAGTCACTTTGTCGTGCAACAATAAAAAAAAAAGAAGCATAGTCATCTTCGATCAGAAAATCCCACAAAACAATTTTAGACTATGTTATGGTCATTTTACAGTGAAAGGCTACAATACAAAATATCTTTTTTCGTTTACGATGGGAAAATGTAATTCGAATTTTGTTCAGGGAATTAAAAACATTGTTATTAATTAATTTTGTAGCAAAAGACAAATATTAAGGTTTCAATAAGCTCAGAGCAAAACCAAATATGTCAATTTCATTAGCTCTTAATCATGTAATCCGTTGTTGCGGGTAGAAATCTAGTATAACATATAATTATTTACATACTATCGAAATCAGCATTCGTAACATTCAAGTTTATATGCATAAATCTCATCAAAAAACGTGATTTATGAAAACGTGCCGTATCAAACATTAAATGCTGTTTTATGATAAGCGGATCATTGAATCGCTGGACCGAACCGATAAGCTATTTTATAAAATGTTTTTACCTAATATTTTATTCGAATTAGTTTGGTAGACTTGGAAAGAAACGTTTTTATAGGATTTAAAGGAGAGCACGAACTTTCAGAAACTTTAATATATATTTAGACTACGCTAGTTTTGTTTCGTGTTAGTACTATAAATACAACACTATTAAATAATAAACATATTTGATTTGCACATTTACAATTATATCTTTAAATATATTCAAGAATTACTATCTCGGGCGCACCAGGACTTATGACTCGGTTAAAATGGTCGTCAGACAATTTCTGTGAGCTCATTGATCGATTAACAAAGTATCGCTTCGCCTAATTTAAACTAGCCATAAGGCCGGAAATATTTCGCTCGATAACCGGGCTAATTCAAATAGAGCAGATGACCCGGTTTTGGCCACTACCCCTTTTTGGCTATTTACCACTTCAAGACGTTTTAACTAACGCATATGTAAATATAGTATTTTACCATGAATAGTTTTTAAAATGATGACGGTTTCTATCTAAACTATCTACTGAAAGCGCAATTCTTTGTTTAAAACACATGGTCAGTTATTATACTAGTAGAAATAAACCTATATAAGCAAGTTTTTTAAATTTATCGAAGGCATGCGATCTGGGGCCCAATTCCACTAAATAAATTTATGACAATTTCAGTTCTATTTTAGCTGAAATTGTATCGTAATTTCTTTAGTAGAATTGGCCTCCTGGTACCCTATAACCATTTATGGTCCAAGATAGCCTACGATACGACCATGCCAACAGAACTTGTTAATGCATTTAGATATTCGTACGAAAATCAAACCTATTATGTAAGATGATCCGGTTCGATGTCGGATTTGTATGGGCTGGAGTGCGGGGTGAAGCTAGGGTGAATAACTTCACCAAAGTTCTTTAATTTTTGCATGAACCGACTTATCGTTGCGCTTAGTGACTGTGGTCTCGGCTGTTCAGTCAATGGACGTTCTTTTAATAATATTAGTTACTCAGATGACATGGTCTCACTGAGGCCTTCGATTAGAGCCCTCAGAAAGCTCCTGCAATTTTGTCAGCAGTACGTACGCGTTGGCCCATGGTCTCGGGTATAATATTGACAACGCGATCATTATGGTATTTACGACACGTTAAAAAACTGTTTTTCAAATTCAGCCCGTTAAACGGTATGCTATTAAGTAGAGCCCCGCCTTTTAAGTACTTGCGCCACTGATCACGGAAGACATGTCAGATGATTTATACATAGAAAGGGAGAGCAGGGCATTGGCTGTTAAGTGCAACTTGCTGGCGCGTAGATTTGTGCGTTGTAATGGTTAAGTGAAAGTAACTTTATTTAATGTATACTGCCAATCGCTCTAGTCGTACAGTCTATGGATCAAGTACAGTAAGTCATAGTAGTAAGTCATACAATGACTTGCGAGGCCAGTACTACAATGGGTTCAAGATATTGTTGAGGTATCCGTGATTCTGTAGTGCACCACGCATGTTTCCGGACGCTATATTTAGTGATTTCTACGAAATAATTCGTAAAATTGCAACTCTCGTTAATATAAAAAGTCGTGGTAGCACTAATGATCTTCTGAGAGTGATTGCAGACCGCTATGGTGGTCCGATATAGAGGCATTGGGTGATGGTACACATGACTCATGTATCTTTTAATAAATAAAAACTGCCTGTTTATATACTAACATAGTTTTTAATTGAATGAACTTTGTCTGAAAATAAATTTATTATTATTTATAATCTACTCTTCCCGACCCCTCGACGATTCGAGGGGTGGGAGGATTCCCCCCGGCATAGTAGTCCAGACGGCCGGGGATCAGGGCGACAAAGAGAGAAAACGGCGGACGATCCTTGCGTTATCGAGCAAGACGGCTTTCACGAGGTTTTCATCGAATGGGACGGTGACATCCACTAAGAACACCCGAGATTCCGCCCGGTCCATCAGTACGATATCAGGCTTGTTCGCAGGAACAGTCCTGTCCGTAATGACGGACCGGTTCCAGTACAATCGAGCGCGGTCGTTTTCAAGAACTGGCTCCGGCACATACTTATAGTACGGCACCTTTTCGCCTATGAGGCCGTATTTGAAGGCTAGCTCGAGATGGAGTATTATTATTATTATAAAATGTTGCATTAGGCAAAGCTAATACCGTTGACAGCTGTAACGTGTCAAATTTGACTTTCTTAAGAGTAACGAGAACGAGAAAAGGGCCAAAACTGGGGTATCTGCTTGCTCTATTTCATATTGTGTAACCATATTTCCGCAAATAAAGATTTAGCAATTATTATTATTTTTATTATTCCAAACTTGAACTACTACTTATAAATTTAAAATTTGAACAACGAAAATTGATATTGCATTTTGTTTTTGGAGAACAAAGTTTTTTAACTCGGCAAATATTACCAATACATTATTAAAATGAATAACTAAAGCTTACCTATCAGCAACCCATCCCCATATTGGGCTGAAAATCCCATAAAGGCTGGAGAACAGCAGAAAAATTAATCCAATCTGTTCTGTGGTGAGATTGAACTGCCGAAGGTGCGGCTCCAATGTAGGGTCGAGGAATGCCCAAGTATTTGATACAATCACTATTACAAGTCCCGTGATTATTATCGATGGAATCTTAAACAATCTCAATATGGAAGCTGACTTGGAGCCAACGGCGAATTCTGAAGACAAAAAGAGTATTACAGTATCTAATTGCGGGATAGGTAAAAAAAAATGTAAAGTCCTTATAGTTTTAGACTAAGTATAACAGACTCCAGTTCATGCAAAGAAATTACATGATTACAAACTCCAATTTGATTAAAATAGTAAATATATTGTTGACGAGAAAATGTTTTAACAAATCGGAGTTCACATCTACTTTTCTTTGGTACGAGTATATTGAAAGAACAGAAGAACCAGTGACCTTGTCGATTTTACAGATAATACAGTCAACATAACATTAGGTTACACTAAATTGACAAAAAAATATAAACCTAATATTTTAAATAAAGACAGATATATACAACGTGTCCCAAAATTCAACGATAAGCGGGCGCCAAGAGGTAGACCTGCTCATGTGTACTTATGAAAAAATAAGAAAAAAATTATATCTTATTAATTTTTTTTATTATAAAATAAAATTCGAAAATTTTCGAAAGAGTTGTAGCGAATAGTAGTGCTACTTAGGTATCCGATACCAAAAAAAGATTGAACATAATTGAGAAGTTGTGGTCGTATTAGTTGAAAATATCATAAAAGGTGTAAATTTTCGAAGATTTTCGAATTTAATGTTATAACAAAAAAGATAAGATTTCATTTTTTTCTTATTTTTCCATAAGTACACATGAGCAAGGGCACCTCTTGGCGCCCGCTTATCGTTGAATTTTGGGACAAGTTGTATAAGAAATATAGTCAACAGCACATTAGGTAACACAAAGTTAATAAAAAAAAAAACACATTTATATTAACCACATTTTACAGTTAAGTTTAAAGTTGATTGAGAAATTCCGATATTATCTTGTGACCTTGTACCGTACTCTCAAAACTAATTTTCGATATATCGTAAACTCTATAATGTTCTGTCCTACTTCACAGCATTAAAAATACGTAAATTAGAGGAGGATGACGAAATAGTCCACGATACTCTTAAATCGAAGTGTACGCCATGATGGATTGCTGTGTTCTTTACCTTCACAGTCAGTTAGCAAGAAGTAGTTGATTGGCACTGTTAACACCATTATGATACCGAGACTGTAGAATGGTAGGCCGAAACCCCCGATCTACCTGGAACATAATGTTTTTACATCTTAAGAAATACAATGTCAGTGGATGAATGAAATTATTGACATAACCATTATGAATAAACAAAAAATTACCAGGGGCTGCAGTCTCGACAATGTTTGCGATCGCTATGTTACCCAATTCAGTCGCTAACTCATAGCGATGGTAAGTTAACGATTATTGCTCGTTTCTATAGTTGAGTATATTGTCATGTGTCAGGCACGTGCTGAATACAACTTTCAAATTAGCAATATTCGTTAGTTTCCTAGCGATCAAGTTTAACAGATCGGTCAATGAATTATTCGATCGCTACCAATGTCGAGACTGCATATCTACCCATCCTGTACAAGACCTAGCCGAGTGACCGTCTAACTGTCTTGCTGTAACTTTAGCCATAGTTTTACAAACGTTTTTTATTAATTTATCAATGAATATGTTGTTGTTTGTTGTTGTTTGTTGTTCTTTTATGTAGGTATGTACTAAGTTATTTCTTAGAAAGCAAGTCCACGACACAGGACAAATTAGCATCGCGTTAGTGGGTTCGTTATCCGATTGTTAATTTTCTTCGGAATAAACCCGCCTGAATTTGTATTCTTTAAGACTAATATCCAACTCCAAACCAGAGCAAATAGTGCGTTAACAACCAATCCAACAGTATTTCTAAAACATTCGTAGGAATGTCATAATCATCATCATCAGTATATTGTTGTCCTAATGTTGGGACTCAGGCCTTCCTATCAATGGAGTCGAATCGAATAGGTATGTATTGAAGATTTTTACCGTATACAATATTCCACCTATAGCCGGTCCGACAGACATTCCAAGGCCAACAAATGTCTCTAATATACCAAGCACAGATCCAATGCTCTCTGGGAACGCGTTCACTACAAACACGTAGCTGGCGGTGGAGTAGGCACTCGCTCCCAGAGCTTCTAACCCTCGTACCACGAAGCATAACCATAGAAAGGTAGTGGAGTCCTGTATTAAGGCTAACGTGCTGAAAAGTTTATTATGAAACTAAAAATTCTAAGTAATTTTTATCTGGACAGCGTAGCAGTAACCCACAAAACCAAAATCGTACTTATGAGCAGAATAATTTTACTACGTGTTTGCTTTCCAGTGTCGATATATAATCAAAGAAATATAGTTATACTCCTTTATGATAGAATCTAATAAGTTTGATTTTGTACTCTTAGTTATTTTCATAATTCGAAAAACGCAATTCGACTGGATCAAATCGAAATTTCATCTAATATATAAAACAGAATTGCTACTATTATTTAAACATATCAAATAAATTGCTCAGCGCATACAGACCTCACAGAACCCTGTCAAATTATGCTCTGAATTGGTGTGTCAGATTGAAAATTTAGGATTGGTGTAGGATTGGACAGATATTCCTGACGGGTCTGCAGACAGTTAATCTGCCAGCCATTCAGAACATTATTTGACAGATCAATGAGGATTTCAGTTATGCGGTAGATAGTTGATCCAAAATTGAGTAGCTTTACGCACTAGTATCATAGAAATCTAAAACGACGACGCTATTATAACACCCAGACTCGAGAGAATATAGAAATGGTCATTTTCTACATTGATCGACTGACAACCGAAACGGGGAATGAATGAATGAATGAATGAATGAATATTTTATTGTATACCATAATTAAACAAAAGGAGGAGCCACGGCGGTGAACTGGTATTTTTTGTCATTAATATAAAGTAGCTTAATACCCATTGATTTTAATTAGTCAGAAGTAGTTTAATCAATTTTAAGATAATTTTAAACTCATGCGCTACTGATATTGACGCCGGTTAATTGATTATGCCTCATGTTGGCACCGAGTTAATTAATACTTACCCAAATAATACGTTACACGATCCAGCTACAAACATTCCAGATATGAACATGAATTTAGCGCCGACCGATGGCAACTGGAAAAAAGAAAAACAATTCGAATGTTACGAAAATAAATTTTAAAATAAATTATACTTTAAGCATTTTCACTAGTTCATTATACGAGGGTCAAACTGAAAGTTCTTAGAAAATCAAAAACTGATTACATTAGCCAGTTATTAGTTTTATTATATCTTTTCAAAATATTGTCCATTCACGTCAATACACCGCTGCATGCGATAGAACCACTGGGAAAAGCACTTTGCCCACTCGTCCTTAGGGGTCTCTTCAATGGCATCGCGATACGCAGCCACCGCTTCTTCAGCATTCATAAACCGCTTTCCTTTAAGTTTTTCTTTAATTTTTGGAAATAAATAAAAATCACAAGGCGCGAGGTCGGGGCTATACGGCGGGTGACCCAGTAATTCAACGTTTGATGTCGCCAAATAGTCGATCGTTCGCTTGGCGGTGTGCGACGAGGCGTTGTCGTGGTGAAGGAGGATCCTACTGCGAGGTCGTTTCTCTCGAACTTTTTCCAAGACAAGTGGCAAACAATTGGTAGTGTACCATTCTGCAGAAACTGTTTTTTGATCCTCTAACACAATTGTTGCAAAATGACCTATCCTTCCAAAGAACGAGGCCACCATTTTTTTTCCCGCACTTCGATCTCTCTTCACTTTAGTTGGCAACTCCTCGAAAGGAAACACCCACTGAGCAGATTGTCTTTTGGTTTTAGGATCATAACAGTAAATCCAGCTTTCGTCACCTGTTAGTATGTCGAACACAGCATTTGAGTCACCTCCGTTAAATCTTTCAATCATTTTACGACACCAATCCACACGATGGAGTTTTTGAGCCTCAGTCAAATTATGAGGTATCCACCGGGCGCAAAGCTTCCTGACCGCTAAATGTTCGTGGAGGATTTTGTGCACTTGACTCATACCGATGCCTAAGCTTGTCCGAATCTGTTGATAGGTCACTCTTTTGTCAGTCTCTATCATACGCCGCACAACACAGATGTTATCTTCAGTCGTCGCCGTAGAAGGCCGTCCCTCACGTAAATCATCAGTGAGATTAGTGCGACCACGTTTAAACTCATTAAACCAGTTGTAAACAGTCGCACGAGATGGGGCTTCATCGTGAAAGGCCAATCGTAGTCTATCATAACTTTCTTGTTGACTTAAATGACATCGAAAGTCATAAAAAATCATTGCACGAAAATTTTCTCGTGTTAAATTCATGATGACGTGACACAGACAATTTTCAATTTGCCGCCAAATCGTAAAACAAATGACAAATGAATGAAATATATACTCAGTAATATTGGCAAAGAGTTATATTTTCAAATTTTAGAATTATTTTTTTATTATATTGTTTATAAGTGGCCAGTTCTAAGAACTTTCAGTTTGACCCTCGTATCATCAACTAGTTCTTCTAAATATTCTACTAGCTTTCGCCAGCGGCTTCGCCCGCGTGGACCCTAGGGAAATGTTTAGTGGGATAAAAAGTATCCTATTATCTAAGTCAGCTAACACCCTATCTGTATACCAAATTTCATCGAAATCCGTTTAGTAGTTTCGGCGTGATTGACGTACAAACATCCAAACATCTAAACATCCAAACAAAGAAACTTTCACATTTATAATATTAATAGGATATACTGGTTCATAATATCATCAACTGGTGCCACTCTATTCTCGTGAATCTTTATCGATATTTATCGGGGTCCGATTGCCTTGGCTGCTCTGTCAAAATGAAGCCCAGCACGCGTAGCATGACGAACTCAACAACGGCAACAACTTAAATGTCACTTTTTTCGGGTGCGCTCATACAACATCTCACTCTCAATCCGAGAAAGTGACATTTGGGTGTAGACAAAGCGTTTCTCGAGTTTTTCATGCTACACGTGCTGAGTAATGTGTCAGATTGCTGGATCAACTGCCAACGGACCAATCATGATTAGTCTGTCCAATACAGATTGGTCTGGTGACAGTCTAAATACCTACCTAAATATCAAAATAAATTTAAAAAACGATCGTCATCTCGGCTTGAGGCCATCTGAGGCCATCAGTAGTAACACACAGTCCAAAAAAAAAAGTATTTATTTGATTGATAAATTTTCGCAACCATGCATAGAAATAAATACATTACAGTTAGATTAAAATGATATGTATGAAATTCAAGTCGTTAGATATAGTAGTGTAGCTAATAACATGTTTGTATGTAGTAGAGAATTCCAATTCGTTACTGAATGTTTTTAAAATGCGTTCAATGATTTTTGAGATTATCACCAACTTAGGTTCTGTTACAACAACCTTGTAAAAAAAGGAAGTTGTTTGTGAGTGATGAATAGATATTATATAATCTCAGTATGAATAAACTTAAATGCTAAACGGAATTGATAAAATCTTAACAAATTGTCATTGTTTAATAAAAATGGTTGCTTTAGGAAGAAATAATTCTGTCAGATCGAAACAGAGTTTCTGACTGGCTGTGGTACAGGTGACATTGTGCTAATTTTCCGTTTGAATTTTCATTTCCATACCCAGTTCCCTGTGGTTACTTGCTTTGCCATGACAATTATTAAGTCTAAGGGATAGACGCGCAAACTGATAAGGTGGATTTAAGAACTGATTGTTTTTCCTACGGAATGCTGTACGTAGATTTTTCTCGTGTGCTGCGGGTTTGTTGATATAACCCCTGAAGTAAAAACAATCAATGTTGTGTACTAAGAGATTTTGTGAATTTTCAGTCACTCGGTTCACTATTTCATGAAGTCCACGCGGACGAAGTCGCGTGCACCAGCTAGTTGTCTAATATGAAATATATTTTTGATCTCATAGTTCTTGCATAGTTCCTAATAAAATAAACACGTCAAAGTAGGCGAAACTTCGCAATTTTTTATAAGTTTATCCTGATTTACGACCACTTTATCGATTTTGATGAAAATTTGCAATATTAGTTTATTCATTGCTTAAAATTATAGAAACACAGAACACTTTATTTAAATAGTAACATGTTATGTCTTGTAAGAATTTTCCCGAACTAACATTCAGAAAGAGCGTATCGTGTTATTCAAAATAACAAATCAAGAAAAAATAATAATAAAAATAAAATGATCCTAAAGATCAAATATAAAAAGTTACACCGTTACCGTTGCAACGTAACTCTTGTCGATAGCGGTGGAATGTACGCCATATTTCTCTATCTTCTGCAATCAACTTGACCTATTGATATGATACAACGCTTAGTTTTTCTTTTACTATTCAATTAACTTTTACTTAAGTTAATACCGTGCGTGTTTAGGTCTTCTCCTATTTCTTTTCTTAGGCATAATCTATGCTAATATTATTAAAGAGGTAATGTTTATAACTTTGTTAGTTTGTTGGAGGTAATCTGATATAATAATAAAAAAAAATTCGCCTACGGAAAGTTGCATCATACGAGGGTGTTATAGTCTATATTTGCGCCGGCGAAGACGCGAGAAAAAAACTATTAATTAGTAAATATAAAAAATGATACTCACGAATTTTCCGAAAAACGGCGAAGTCAGGAACATAACGACGGCATAAAAGCTGAATACTATGCCACACATGGTATCCGACAGGCCTTTACTGGTTGCCTCCCTTGGGAAGAACGGCGCCATGATACTCATTGAGCAGAAACTCATGAAGTCTACCAGTGCAAGCGATAGTAATGTCAATCGCTGGCGCCGGGATAGGTACCGCAGGGCGCCTGGTCGTGGACGCGTCTGCGTTCTTACCAAACTATAAAAAATATACATAACAGCTCATATGATAAGTGGGTCTACAGCAGGGTTCGCTGATAAATAGCAACGGATATATATCATGATATATATTGATTATATATATCTTGATGTGTACCAATTGATTTTTATAATATTTTTGTTAGTTTGAGTAAGTATTGCCACTCAGCTAAAAAATTAACCAAGCCGATGTGACGCTGGCAGCACTGGCCCGAAGTAGCAATCTTACTTACTAGAAATTTAGGGATTTCTCCGTAGTACGAATGTGAAGAGACAACGGTAAAGGTTTTATTTTTTCTAAAAATTTAATGCTTATGTTCACGAATTCCTTTATATGTTACCAGAAAATCAATTTAGCTTTTACACTTTTGATTCAAAAGATCAAATATTAATTAAAACCACCTTAAAACCGCAACTTTTCATCTGCATGATATATATCGGATAATAACAAACATTGGATATTTTGATATTTATTATAAATATCGGATTTTTACGAACACTGGTCTAAAATTAGTATTTTTATATGTCGTTTTAAGATTTTGTAGTCATTCACATTGATAACTGTGATTATTCCGTGATAATAGCTCTTGCAATAGAGCTGAAATATCGGGAACTCAATAAAAACAAGGTAAGTACATGGTGGCAATCCTATAAAAAAACATCATTCTAGATTTTTTCTGTATAGCAATTGATATATTTCCGCATAATCTTTCTAGAGTTCCGTACCAAAAGAGTAAAACTATTCCTCTATACATATATATGATGTTGTCTGCCTTTTTTATTCAAATTTCTTCAGAACTATATTACACCTATTGATTTGAAATTGTGACCCAGAGGAGAGTGCAACGTCTAAATAAATTTTAAATATGAAGGTCTCTTTTAGGGATCTATATACATACCTGATATATAACTGATTACCAACTTCAAAAAATCGGAAATGAATGTGGAAAGGACTCGAATAACTTCAAAAAAGTTGCATGAAATTGTTTATCATTTTTTAGGGTTCCGTTTTGAACAAGCAACCTTTATAGTTTCGCCATGTATCGTCTGTCCGTTCGTTCAAGGACGAAGTGGATTTTTAAGCAATTTTCAATAAGAAAATATAAAAATTTGATGAAAAAATCTTTAGGGGGGAGGTATCATCCCCATATCATCCCCAATTTACATATAGCCCTATATGTAAATTGGGGATGATATGTGTATTTCGGTTTCACCATAGTGTGGGATATCGTTGGATAGGTTATTTAGTAAACTGTTCCTGACCTATTAAGCTTTAAAGATTCAATTTATTTTCGTTCGGGTCATGTGTCACCGCTCCCCAACCAGCTAAATGGTTGTGGTTTAAAGATTCAAACGTTACGGCATCGGCAGTAGTACCTATACTTATAAGTTCCTATATATAACGAAATTAAAAGGAAAACTATCACAACGAGTTGGCTTTACTAGCTTAAAACTACTCAATCAATTGTATTTATCTCGAAAATTCCGAACAACTCCAAAGAAATCAGCGTAACTCTTCTTTCGCTTTTGTTCGGAACCCTTAGTGTGCGATTCAGATTTGCTGGTTTTTATTAACATCAGTATATCTAAAGGCGGATTAACCTTAAGGCAGAAGATGCAACTGCTTTGGGGCACCGCATCAAACAGAGGCCCCGCGTATCCAAGTAAAAAACATCTGCACATACCCACCAACGAAATAATTTACTATTTACCTACTTAGGTACCCATAAGTAATTGCCACATATATTTTAATATATTTGTAACAAATTTGTTTTTATTAAAACATTATCCGCTGATTATAATATCCTACCAATTATAATTGGTCAAATAAGACAGGAAAATTTTTCAATTTTCATATAATCTGTTCAACGTACAGGTATAGGTGCCTACTTATGGTGAAACGTGTAAGATATCGTGTTTATTTATGTTGCGCAGTAGATTTATAATACCTAGAACTATTTCTATCGGCAATGAACATGAATAGCACATAGGTATAAATGCCACAGGTTTACGATAAAATCAGGATTTTGATCAAGAACCCAACAAGAACAGTATGATATTAATATTAATACTTAATTTTATCATAACCGAGAAATACCAGTTTTTTTTTACGAAAACCTGAATTTCTTTTTTTAATAATAATAATAATAATGTCTTTATTTGCAATAAATAGGGTTATATATACAGTTGTGATATTTCAGTTTAAGAGCTTTGACCTATTTAGCCATCTTGAACAGCATGCAAAATATAATAATAAGAATACCTAATAATAATAATAAAATTGATGAAACTTAAAATATTTCATAATTACATAAAATTGCGTCAAATTTAACAATAATAGTATTTAATCAAAATATTACAATTGTGTCAAAACGTTATTAAGCATGTCAATTTTATCAAATTGTACAAAAAAAATAAAATAAAATAAAATAGTTTTCGGTATTCGGCATCTTTTTTACTTTTCGTATTCAGCCGAATTATTCGGTTTGAGTATTTCTATTTTCTTACCTACACGACACGATATAGAACGACAAAACTTATTATGAAAAATTTATGTTACAATATGTTACACAATATTAATTGATAAGAATTTATTTAATAAAATAAATCTATATAGCTTCAAATCATAAATATTAATTTTATAAACTATAGTCACAATAAAAAATATAATGTAAAATAAAAGATGACCAAAGATAAATATATACTTATTTTAATATTTATAGTTTTATAATATTTAATATTAGAAAAAAAGAAACACAAAGCTCTAAGCTCTCTCCGGCAAGAGCATGTTAGGTTTTTAATCAACTTCAAAACCGGAAAGGAGGAGGTAATATGTTCTACAGCAAAATATATTTTTCCACGAATTGTTGACCGATTTTCAAAATTATTTTTTTATTTGACAGCTTGATTTGATTGAAATTTTGTCAAAATCAATTCAGTATTTCTTTTATAACAACAAAATGTGCTTTTCATCAGATATCACCTAGATATTTTGATGATTATGTTGATATCGGCGAAAAAAGCAAAAGATCGCGTATTTTGCATTCATTCAAAATCCAAAAGGAGGATTTTCTATATTCAACAGGCCTTTATATTTTTAATAAGTATGTTCATCGGTTTCTTCTTGGATTGCGAACCAATTTCTATCAAACTAGCCGTTTCCCAGCGACTTTGTTTACATAAATTATAGCCCATATCCTCCGAGCATACATAATGCTTTTTGTGGGTGAAAGAATTGTTTAATCGGTCCATTAGTTTCGGAGTCTATATAATGCAAGCAAACAATAATCAAATCTTGCCTCTTTATAATATGAGTATAGATTATTGTAATATTAAGCACATAAACAAAATCTCCTTTCCTATTATATAAAAATATTAATATCACTAAAAAACATGAAATATTTTATTTTTAAAAATAAAACAGACTTCAAACTAGACAAAAGGGATAAATAATGCTAATCTCAAAACCGACTTGTTCAAGAAACTGCTATTGAAGTCGGGCGCCTATAACCTTACAGTAAACCTCCATCCCACATCAATAGCAGTTTCTTGAATATGTCGCTTTTGAGATAAGTAGGTATTATTTAAAATTTTATTCTTTTTATAGGTTCCCTCCTTCCGAAATAATTGTTCGCTATATTACAAGGAGCACTTAGAAAAATCCTGGCTATTTAAAAATAAACAAATGGTAAACTGAATAATTCGGCCGAATATCCGGTTCGGTAAAAGTTAAATCGAATACCTACTATTCGGTAAAACAACTATTCGGGGCATCTCTGAATATTGGTTTTTTAATAGTTTTTCAGCGATTCTTCGAGATGAGACGATCCATAAACTATTTTAAAAATAATGAAAATTATATTAATTGTTAAACATACTTTTTATAAATCATTATCTACTAAGTGAATGTAAAATAAAAATAAACAGTAGAAAAGGACATTTTACAATTCATGACATATGAAAAATATCCTTACTGATCTAATTATTATGAGTTATTGTTGTTTTTTAAATTTAATCTATTAATTTTAACATTCTGTGGTTAACCAACCACAGTCCTATAATTCTCATAACATCCTATAATTAACATAGCAATAATATAGTAATAATAGCAGGGATAATAACTGTTAACCAAAATCTCCTATTCAGTTACGCTACAAATTTTATAACAATCCTAAACAGGTTAGGCTTCTCATCAGAAATTTAGATTAAGTTAATGATAAAACTAAGTGTAATAATTTTGTCATCCTCCGGTACTTGATGAAAAAAACTAGTTTTTTTATCAAAATCCTGATTTAATCCTAACCTTGCGACATAAACACTATCTGATATGTAAATATTAATAATAGGTAAACCATTATAATAATGCATCACATCACAATGTCATAGTCTTATCACATTAAATGAACACTTAAAAGTACGTGTATTTAATCATTAAAATAATTAATAATGATCTACCTTTTATATCTAGTACTTAGATTAGCTTTCAATAATAGTAAATTCAATTGATGTGATTCATAATAAATATTGTAACACGGGATGGTCTCTAAAACCAGTGTCTTAGTTTGTTTAGCACACCTATTGTTAGCTATTTACATAAATACTTGTTTACAATCGTAGTTACAATATAAATCAATAGAGTACATTGACTCACGTTGACATTTGCTTCAATGCAAATGAATATCACGGCAATTAAAAAAAACTGAACGTAATATTGCGTGTAATTAATTACAATGCCTTTTACCGTCTAGACATTTTTAAGCAATTTTTTAAGCAGGAAACGCGTAGGTATATCATGTGGGTGGTACTTATTTATATTATTTTTTGAAAAATTACATAAGTACTATCAATTATTACATCATAAAGGGGAAGCGTACATAAAAAAAGTCTATTTTTCATTCGGTTCTATACAAAGAATAACGTCCAAGTCTGTTGTAATAAAAAAAATACAAAAGTACATATTTTTCTGAGAGTTTTTTCACACAAAATGGTGAATTTATAAATATCTTTTTTATTAGAATAAAAATCTTAATACCCTTTAAAATACACATTTTTCGATTTCTTATCGTACCTGTAGGTTAATACTTTTATATTGAAAATTGATAAATATGTGAGTTACTTATAGCTTTATATGATACTTTTAGAATACCTAATCATAATGGTTTGCAAAAAGAATTTGTCGAATATATTTTTACGCATCATTTTAGCCTTATTGCTATAATAATTATTCAAACTTACCGTTCCCTCAGAATTCTGATTTCGGAACTGCCATCATCAGGCGGAATACCAGACCAGGAATGTACCCGGCGTAAACGTCCAGAATCCGGGAGTGACACTCGACCACCCCACGTCGCCGCCAACTCCTCATTTTGCGTGGAGCTCTTAACCATTTTACTATCGAAAAATCCTTCAAATGATCTACTTTCTACACTGTTTGACCACACACACGAGTCACGTTTCGTCCGATTCCTCAGCAATTTAGTGTTCTCATCGCATTCATCGTTGTCCATCGTAAAGTAAATATAACACGAAGGATTCTACGTACGAGCCGCTGCGCGTCAACGCACCAAGCGTCGAATCATTGAATGTATAAAACCTAGTCCGCATATCAATCATTAATCGATATCTTATCGGGCGTAAATAAAATTCTAGTGGAAAGAGGACACTTAATTCAAACTGGAGGATATGGTCCGATACTACGCACTACACCCCGTGTTTGTCTGCGATAAGACAAATTGAAATAATATTTTTATCGTGGGTAGGCAGCGAAGTGAAAATACACGGGTCACGGCACGCCTTTTGCGCTACTTTCATTTATTATTTAATATCGACTATCGTTTGCATAGGTGCATTCAGAGTGCAATGGAAACCGCAATTTCTACGCAGTTTCATAACCGTGGTTTTGTGGGAGTATTATTGAAACACTTATTGTAAAATGGGAGCCTTAAGAACCTACATAATGTACTTATTTCTATGTTTCATCATCTTATTTGTTCATTAAAGCTCTGTATTTTTAAATGAAATACTGAAAACACATGCATCCAATTATTATAGGCAACTAACTAGTTACTGGATTTAACAAAGGTTTGTCTTTGTGGTTAATAGTAAAGGAAAAACAACATTTATGATTACTTAGATTATTTAAGTTTCAAGATTTTTCAATGTCATTGTTATGGGTAGGTAGGTATAATATCACTAAATAGTATAAAACAAAGTTGCTTTCTCTGTCCCTGTATCCCTAAGTATGCTAAAATCTTTAAAACTAGGAAACAGATTCTGATGGGTTTTTTTTTCATAGATAGGGTAATTCAAAAGGAAGGTTTTTATGTATAATACAAGATGACGCGGGCGAAGGCGGAAGGCTAGTAATATAATTTAAGTATAGGTTATGGATTTGGGAGTTACTGTAAGAACTTAGCTTTTAATACTACGTGGCTAAGAGTATCGCAAGCTTTAATAGCTAGCTAGCTTCGATTTGCAGTTCAGCATAGCATAGTATATAAAATGGAATAAGAGGATAAAATGTCCACGTCTTGTTATATTGTGAGAGCCATAAGTTTCTCTATTATATTGTGTCGACCATGGGACGCAGAAACAGTATTTTAGTGACTTATTAGATAAAATTAATTGTATATATATTTTAGTGTCACCTTTATTACTAATAGCCACAAAATTGATGAAAAAATGTGGCCGTTTCATGACTTATAGTCTTACATATACTATTTTCTATTCAAGAAAAATAATTTGTGTCTATATTCCAGAGTGTATGTAACCCGGATGTACCTATTTAAGGCAAGAGTGAATAGGTTATTTCTGGGCAAGCTTGTCTTACCGTATTTCATCTATATACTTGGCTAAATTGATGTCAAGAATGAGCCAAAATTAAATTTAAAAAAAAAATACATAACTACAACACTATCGGTCAGTTGCACAAACGTCAATTAAGGTTTAATGACACCTTTAAACACTAATAAATTACAAAAATGTATGGGTAAGGTCGTTTTAAACTGATGAAATATTTAATGGACGTTTGTGCAACTGGTCGTCTACCAGGTTACCAGGAATTGAGAAAATTCTACTATTTTGACTGAAATTATCATCATTACCATCTTAAACGTCTTCAATGCTGGAGTACAAGCCTTATATGGATAGAATCGAATAGGGCATCATTACCCAACACCCAGGTCCAGAGCGGATTGTTGGTTGTTAACGACTGCAGATGTTACGGGGACCAACGGATTAACATGCCTTTCGAAGCAGCCGAGGAGTTTGAGATAACAAATACTTGGTCACCCATCCAAAGGCCTGCGAAAGTTGCTTTACTGCCGCACCGCAGACCGAACATGCTAACCACTAGACCTTCGAGCATCAAATACAAATAATAAACTTTCAGGGAAGCCACGAAGAGTTGATTAAAAACAAATGACGTTTTAATTATAATAAAAAAAAACTTGATAATTAGATAATTATTTATTCAACGCATATATAATTTCAATCTTAGATTAACAATCCATGTAAAGATGTGTCATAAGAAAATACATAGGAAAACAGAATAAGCACGTCTCAAACTGTATTTAAGCCATCTTAAACGTAACTTAAAAAGGGTTTCGTTTTTTATTTTAATTTTTTACGTTAAGCAGTTTGATAAAACTAGGAGTTTTTGCCTTGTGAAACGTAAAAAACTTAAATCATTGAGAATAATCAGTCGAGATTTTTTACGTTTGAACAAACTTTCTAAAAACTTGGTTGTAACCGTAGAATTTGGATTAATTAAGGAAATAATTACAAATGACAAGGCTGTATGGGCTTAGTACCCTATGTCTTACCCCTCCCCCAAAAAGAAACGAAATGGATATGAAGTTTAACAAATATAAAAGTTACACAAAAGGTAAAAAAAAAACACTTTCACTTACAAAATAAACTCTAGTATGAGCAGATATGTAGCAAACTCTTAAGTTACATAAATGTAGTCCATTCTTTACCAGGACCAATTTGTTAAAATAATAACAAATGTCACTTAAATTTAAATAAACAAATGTCGTAGTGAATTATTAGTGAGAAAACTTTTTTAAAACACATTTTATATCTAAATAATACCATATTACTTTCCTGGCCATATTGTTTCTGCAACCGAAAAAATAGCTTGTATTGTAATTACTCATTTTGGTTGAAGAAAATACTAGGTATACCACAGATATATTCATTAAAAATTATTTATCTGCGTATTAAAGAAAACAACATGGATAAGGTAAAAATAAATGATCCAACAGGTTCAATAGCCGGCACTGAGGGCCGAGGACACTGCATAACAAAAATTCTAGAGTGCACGATATCTTTATGACGTCAAAACGCTCAAGGAAAGGTCACGTAAGCGTCTTCCATAGTGTTGCCATATCGTGTCTTTTAAAGTTACGTATAGTTAATCAGTAGTCAGGCCAATTGCATGGCCTAACGTGATGTTGACTTACACAAGGCATACACGGAAACGTATCAGATACCTGTTTGGGAGAGAGCAGACGCAGATAGATAAGATTTTATTTTGAGTTAGTTATTTTAAAGATTATTTTAGGTCAATTATATCCACTAAAAACCAGGCATAAGTCATAAGAGATACGTTTTTTAATTGTACAACACAAACGTAACGGAATGGGTTCAAAAAGTTACACAAAACGTTACAAAAATTCTGATCTGGCAACACCAGTTCCGTATTTTGTACCTACCAAGTCCTGACTGTCAACTGATAATGTGCACTTCAAGAACTTTAAGTGTATCATTATCAGTCGTCAGTACACTACACTCAATATTACATAGACTTTATGCAATCTACATTATACAATTAGATTGACAATCATTAGTTATTTTTTTAATATTTTGATTTGCAGTGTTTGGCTGTTTGCTTATTAATATATGTAGGTTTCATTAATAAATAGTCATAAAGATTATCAGCAGTAGGATAAAAATAACTTGTTACTAATGAATGCCAAATAAATAAGCTGATACTGACTCCCATTTGTTTCAGTTTTATACAATAACACGATTATTTTGAGTTTCGAGCAGTGTTCTATATTTTATTTGAAATTAATGTAATATTATAGCGAAACTGTAGTCGAAATTATTTAGAAAATACAATGGATTTTTAACAATAAACAAATAACATTTAAGAAAATGCAGTCAATTATCAACCTTAAACCTTACTATATAGATTTATGGATTTAGTTGTTTTTCTTAAATTCTTAGTTCCAAATTTTTATTCTGTTAATTTAAGTATACAGTCATTTTCAACTTTTATATTGAACAAATAAACACTGTAAAAAAAATGCAAAAATGACATCGAAGGTGATTTTAAATATCATAACTATTAATTATTATTAAAACAATTTCTTTTAAATTATTTTTTGTTTTCGCAAAATATTCAACATTGGCACCACTTTAATCTAAATTCTCTTAAATTTAACAGGTATAAAAATATGTCCTTTAATTAAAAAATACTTTTTAGAGCTGTCAAATTTAAGTTTTAGGGTTAGGTTAGGTTTTAGGACCCCTAATCCTTTATTGGTTCTAATATGCACATCAGCAGGGATTTAAATATATTTCTTACTGGCTGGTAAAAGCAGCCTGGTGAGAATTCATAGCTTGTAACGATATCTGAATTAATTCCTTAAATTTATATCACTACAAACACCGAAAAGGCAAATCTTCACACTCATATTTAGCTAGATTTAATTAGAGAGTTGTGTTGTTTAGATATTTAACACGATTATTTCATACGGTTTTCTTTCATCATATCATTCATCATATTCAAGTTTTATGAGTTCTCTCGCTTTAACAAACAACCGTTGTATGCAAAAGAAAGGGGTAGCATGCTAGGTTTTATCTACGTAAAGTAGAAGTTATAATAAAACAGAGAAGGCGGGACGAAGAATGTATTATGAATCTGATAGTTTAAATCAACGTTTTAGTAGTAAAAAACCAATAAATCTTGGTTATCATGTTTTGTTATAGATACTAAGTACTTAACTGTAGTAAACATTATTGTTGCTAAAAATCATTCGAATGGGCAGTATTAATTATATATAACACTAAGCTTCATCGTTAGATTCCACCATTCCATGATAGTGTGTATTTATGGAAAATACTAACTGAACTGGCGAATTTCTTCACCATTTCTCATCTTTTAAACTTTTATTGGAGTTCTACAAGTATATCACAAACTAAAATTGATCAAATCAGTCTGCCCGTCTTCGTTCAATTGATAGCGAGACTATTAAATCTTATTTATTTTTAAATATACAGGGTTACTTTTAAAATATTTCGCAACACTAGACAGCTGTCATCAGAAACGACGTCATTGATCTATGAGTTTAATCACAAATCAATCATCATCATCATTGGCAATTCTTAATGTCAACACATCTGGGGCACAGAAGAAGCGGCCATGAGAAGGGGCCCACCCACCACGATCAGTGCCTTCCGAAGCAATAAAATAAATATTTTGAAGATTAAATAACTTTTCAACTTTTTGTTATACTGTTGTGACATCTATACGTTTGTTTTATATTGAAGTTATTAGATACAAGATGTGGTAAAGTTTATACGTTAGAATGGTAAATTAAAGTAAAATTTATTTTTTCGAAATTCATAGAATTGTTTTTATATGATTTCGACTATCTAATCCTCTGAGATTACTGGTGTACGAATAACCCTGTATATTACACGTGAAAAAATAATGTTTACTTTACAGTTGACACCAGTATTAGCATCGGTCCAGGATACCATCTATTTTTCACTATCGATACTATTGGTAATAGGATAATTATAGTAATATAATTTTTTACAAGGTCAGCTTTTGATAGAAAAAAAAGGTGAACGCTCTAAACAATCATCCCGTGGTCAAAAACTTGCACGCGGAATACCTACATCTCTCTTTATCGCACCTATGTAATTAAGAAAAGATAGAATCATCTAAGACACAATCGTTAATCGGAGATCATAAACGGAGCTGTGCCAGTTCCTGTAACAGACTAGCCTCACTCTCGATCTTAGCGAGTTGGTTTAACTCGAGCTGCTTGCCCGCCGCCTTCTGTTGTTTCAATTTCTCTATATCACTCAGTTTCTATGGAAAAAAAACAAAGGAAATTTACAGACAGATGTAATATGTGTATTAATTTTCTGATAAATATCAACGGATATATACCGAATGATATATACATTGATATATGTCAATTGATATTTATTGTTAGTTTAAGTATTGAGTCTCAGCTAGAAATAGTAATCTTACTTACAAGAAATATCAATAATTTTAATTATAAAATATTAAATAATGCATGATATGTATAGGTTAAATATCAAATATCGGCATTTCGATATTATTAAAAATATCGAACTTTTACGAACCCTGGTATTAATTTACCTTAATATAAGTTTGTACAACTGAGTGTAAATACATTAAGTCTGTAGCCTAATCACTAATCAAATCCAATAATCACTTTGAATTTGACATTTGAAAGATATTCACGAACTACACGCTACAACTATTAGACACGTGATATCAATTGCGATCGCGACGTTTTTGAAATAGAAAGGTATTGAATGAATGATGTTTGCCATTTTTTGATTGATGTTTGACATTTTTGATTGATGTTTGACGTTAAACGGATTTGTCTAAGCAAGCGATAGTTATTAAAAATCTTTGAAAGCTATTCGGATATGTCAAACGCAATGAATTGTATATGACATTTACATCATTTAACTTTAAAAGTTACACAATTTCATAAACCATTATTACAACAGCTATACGTTTGAATGGGCTTAATAAATCGATTAGGCCACTGGTTGGATAAACTTACCTTGTTAAGGTTTTTAATCTTCTTGTCTTTCTCAGGATCGCCCGTGGATATGAAGGGGGCGCGGGACGAGGCCGTGGGCGGCGTGGGTGACGTGTCTCCTTTCGACTTCTCTTCCGCCTTGCGTGCTTTGCGAGCTTCACGCTTCTCCTTCTGTTTGATAGCTTGTTTTGATGGTCCAGCTGGGTTGGCAATCAAATATAAATTTACTGCAAGAGGCCTTATAAATTTCTATCCCATAATATTATTACAAGGTTATAGTTTGTAATTCACAAGTTAGGGGAGAAAAGTTATTTCGCTTTGTTTGTCGAACTACTATTAAGGTTTTACCTCAAAATAAAAATTAGATTTATAGAATTGGGATGTTGACTTATTTTTGTTTGTCTGTTCGTCGGGTAGATTATTGAATAATAAGAAACACGTATTTTTTTTTTAATTTTTGCGTAATCAACAGTGGTCGGAATCAGGTAGAGTTATTCATTTACTTACACTGATTTCATACAGCGAAAGAATAAAGTGGATATGCCTCAAATCCCGAGATTAATTTTAAAGAGCAGAAAAAATCCCGTGATTTTTTAAATAAAAAGTTATTTACTTTTACACAATTTAAACTACTGCACGCACGACGTTGCTAAACTTACATCAATGACATCGGATGTCCAAAGTTGCAAAATACCAATACGCGCGATGTTGCCACGAAGGTCCACATTAATCAACATTTCGATGCAAGTACATAAATAACTCTACATAATTCCGACCTCTGGTAATCAATAAAAAAACAGGCGGAAAAATAGAACGCGGTCAATCATTTGTAGGTATTATATAAAAAATAAATTTTTCACTAACTCTTTTAGGTCATATACATTAATTTGCTAAAACCTTTTTTTTAGTACTATATCATTCAAAGTCTCCATTAATAACAAGGATGAAAGTTGATTTCAATTATCGCCCGCCTTAAGCAAATTGACAATGACAGAAAACGTCGAATTGAGACACTTTGAGATATTTTGGTCCGACGGTTTTAATTAATTTACGACGGTTTAAACTTTCAATTTGACATTTTGGAAGATATTCACGAATTTTACGCTGTAAAATGACATATGTTAAAGATTGTGGTTGGGCGATTTTTTTTTAAAGATATTGAATGTACTAATATGACATTAAAGTTACGAAGTTTTTGGTATGTTTCTTGGGTATTAAAATCATCATCCCTTCTTTAAGCTATTGCGACTTTAACGTTACATAATTCTGTAAATTGCTATCACAAAATCTATACCTTTCAAAGGAATTGCGATAGCTTTTTAAATTAGACCACTAGGACTAAAATTAGTACTAGGTTTATAATACGACGGTGGGAGAGCCACGCTTCGGCATGAATGGGCCGGCTCGACCGGAGTGATACCACGGGCTCACAGAAAACCGACGTGAAGCAACGCTTGCGTTGTTTCGTCGTGTGAGTGAGGGTACCGGAGGCCCAACCCCTCCCTATTCCCTTCCCTCTACCCCTCAACCATTCCCTCCAAGGCCGGCAGCGCGCTTGTAGCCCCTCTGGTGTTGCAGGTGTCCATGGGTGACGGTAATCACTTACCATCAGGTGATCCGTCTGCTCGTCTGCCCCCTATCCCATAAAAAAAAAAGTTTGTATTACCAGTAGACTCCCCGGGTTTATGCGGTTTCTCATGTTCATGGAAGGTGAAGGTGGAAGGCTTGTTTCTAGCACCGGGCGGTCTGTAGGCCGCCATCGGTTTCGGCGTAGAATCTTCAATGCCTTTAGGTGCAGTTTTTGACAATTCACTCTTCGGATATGTTCCGGGGCGCCAAGATATCGCTAGTAGGTTCTCCTTTTCTTGACACATGCGTTTGTGCATCAGGACGCCGGTATAATGCCAAATCTTGTACCTGAATGGAGTTCGAGTTATTAGCAGCGGTAGCAGTAGCTTAGCGTCGCTAATCTAGACGTGGACGAAACCGAGTCAGCTTCAAGTTCACGCTCCTTATACTAAGGCACGGTGTTAGATGATATTACATGGCGGAATTGCGTGTATGTTCATTCCATCCCTCTGTCGGAGTCAGCGACAGCGGCTGACAATCCCGCGCATTGCGCGATTCCATTCGACTGGGGAGAAACTTAGTCATGGTTTAAGTTTCTCCCATCCGAGAAGTGAGGACTAAAGAGGGACCCCCTCTTTAGTCCCCACTGGTATTGTGAGGCTTGGCGAATACATTCGGGTTCATGAGTACCATTCCCATCGGAGGGCATACCCAGGGTTTTTAGTAGGTAGGCCGTGCATTGGTTAAATTGCAATCCGTGTTGGACTCGAATGTTTTGGAAAATATATTTTTTTAATTACTACTAATCAGATATTTTTATTCCAAAGTATTACCAAATAAAGACATATTTTAATACTTTAAATTTTCCAGTGGAAACAATCAGTCACGTGACATTTCGAACCATGACGTCACAGATTACAAATCACAAGTTTTGTAAAAATAAAATATTTGCAATTTATTTCTAAACAAAAAAAAAAAAAATACTACATATTTATTGCTTACATATAAGTTACCATTTGTCAAGTGACTAATTCTCAGCAGCAAAATTATTGATAGGCTTCGATGCTACATGGTTTTCGTGTTGAACTATCGATAGATCGGCGACACTAGTTATACGTACCCGTTACCGACGGTTAATCTTGGGTAAGTGGTGGCAGTGACGAATGTTTCCCCGCGCGGATCCCACTGCAGGCTAGTGGTATCGGGCGCTGTGCATGCACCCAGTTTCTTGTAACCGCGCATATCCCACACTTCGATACTACCAGAAGCTATATTGCCGAAACCGCCCAATAACACACGTGCATTGGAGTTAAGGATAAACACACAATTATAATTAATGCACCGTTTTTCATTTAAACTCATTTGAATGGGAAATATTTTAGTAGTAGAAAAGTATTTAAAGATTTTGGTTACAAAATGTAACCTTTGTGTGTAAAAAAAACTTGTCCTTTAAAAATATTGTTTGTTTTGTAATTTTGCTAGACAGGTCATTTTAAACAAAATGTTCGATATTCTAATTTTTGTGAGAAAAGTAATACTAATTGAAAGATTGTTCATATAAAGCAAAAAACATTGGGGACACATGGAAGTTTTGTGTAGATTATTAATATAAGGCCGACTTTAATAGAAGTTTCTTCCAAACCGATTTCAATTATAATTTTTTGAGAGCAGCTGAAGAGAATTTCAAATAAAAAAGTTAAGATAGTGAAAATCGGTCTAGAATTAACAGAGAAATTGATAAACATACAGCCATATATTTAAAATAAAATATGCCAAATACTTTTGTTGATGTATATGAAAAGGATATAGTGCCCTTCCGGAGGGAAATAGATGGCGTTCCAAGCACCTGTTCCGAATTCAAAGAGCGGCTCGCATTTGGCATTGAACAGGGTAGCTTTAGCTGGAGCATGCCCATACACCGCCACCCATTCGTTAGAGTTGCCAGGGTTCCATGACACCGCATGTATTGGACCTTCTTTGCCTGAGAAACAATATGAGTGTCGATAAATATCGGTGGTATTGTTGTATCGATAAATTAAAGTTTCGATATTAATTTAATGGTTTACCAAATTACAGAAATGAATGTTCTGTCTATTTCAATATATATAACAATAAATATAAAATAGTTAATATCAATATACGTTCTTTAGTAATTAATATGTGTACAAAACTGATAATTTACTTACTAAATGACATATTCCCTGCATTGCCTTTTACATCACCATATGATAATGATTGTTTGCCATAATAAGAACCACCAGTTTTATCTACCTGTAAAATGTAAATTAATTAAATAGTTTGCTGGATCTTCTCTTCTTTTAATCATTTATTTCTATAGAGAAAGCAAGCATTTAAAGATACAAAGAAAATCAAATATGCATACATCAGTCTGAGTCATAACAAAGACATTGGTGCCACGTCTGTTCCAGTTAAATGAAGCTTTGTCTGCTTGGAATGAAGACCGGCTTACTACTGCTTGTTGCAGTTCCAGCATTGGAAATTTGAATACACGCCAGAATGATGGTTGCCCTTGCTTACCTAAATAATAAATAAATATTTGACAATATTACTTACATTCAGATCTCAAATTAAGTAGCTAATGGTCTGTTGCATACTGTCCATTAAGGTTTAATGATATTACGTTTGAACTAATTACGATTTTAATGGATGTTTGTGCAACTTGGAGTTAGGTACTTGTATTATATAAATATGAAACAATGAAGGTTACACACGAAGTAGCTCGGTAGCGTAGTGGATAAGCGCCGCGGCCCGCGATCGTTGTCGTTAAGCAACTTTCGCAAGGGTCGGTCACGGGATGGGTGACCAAAAAATTATTATCTCGAGCTACTTCGTGCTTCGGAAGGCACGTTAAGCCGTTGGTTCCGGCTGCATTTGTAGTCGTTAATACCCTTCAATCCGCATTGGGCCAGCGTGGAGGGTCATGGCCTATCCTCCTTAACCATCCATAAGGAAGGCCTGAGCCCCTGCAGTGGGGACGTAAAAGGGCTGGTGAAGGTTACACTACATCCAGACTCCAGACGTTATAGAAAAGCTTTCTACATTGATCAGACAGGGAATTGAACCTGGAACTTGAGATAAGATAACACCTTGAAACCAATGTATTGTTACAAGTAATAGATTCTTTAAAAAGGTCGTAATGGTTAGAATCAATCAAAAGCTTAATATTGATGATGATCCATAGGTAAAATTTGATTATTTGCAATGTATAGGCTCCAAACTTAATTATAGGACAGATTTCTCAAATTCTTTCATGGAAAACTACATCATATCCGCTGAACATATATATACTCTATATTTTATCTCAAAAACAGCAAATAAAGATGTTTGTACAAAATTGCTATTAGGAAATTAAAATATTACCATAACTACCATTTTTTACTATTCAATATGTCATTATAATTATATCCATGTTATTTTGAATTGATATCCAAACAAGAGCCACTAGCGGAAAGCTAATTTCAGACATATAAAATTGTACTTACCAAGAGTGAAGACAGAGAAGTAATATGATGGTGCAGCACTTGGTGAAATGCTAAATGATTGCAGTTTATCCACACTAATCATATGAGTATAACGGTCTAACTTGGCATCCTCATATATCAAAACTCTATTGTTTACTTGTAAAGCAAAGAGTTTCTCATCAGATGACCATTGCGGTTCCCTATAATAAGTAAATATTTAAATATGTTTAGAATAAAATTAAAAATTGGGATGTGGGACCAGCCTTTTTTAACCATCAAATTGGCTTATAATAATTAGGTTCAATAATACAATTTCAATTGGAACAGTCAATGAATAATCCCACACATGTTACGAGTGGTAGTATTTTTTCCTACATAGTCACTTGTAGATATGACTTAGCTATACTCAATTTGTATAGTATCTGTATATCAAATCTCTAGACCTTTAAGATTGTCACACTTGCAGTTAAATCTTGATAGTTTTGTAACTGTAATAATAAGAATTAAGCCTTTTACTCTGAAAGAAAATTATTTTTGTTTCTTATTTTACAATAACATTATCAGATTCACAAAAAGTCCCTCATCTCGGTGTGCCTCTTGTCATCGGCCTCCTCCAGCGACTTTTAGTCTTCATTCATTTTGTGTTAAGTATTGAAAATTTCAAATTGAATAATAGTGTGAAATTATCAACAAATCTTAAATAGTTCAAAATAATTCAATTTACATATATTAAGACCAAAGCAATGCCAGTTTAGGTTGCGAGAGATGCCATACTCAAGTACGGCTGAGAAAAGTTTGGGAGATAGGGGATCTCCTTGTTGGTCATTTCTTTTTATGCAGAATTGACTATCCAGTGTTCCTAATAGGATTCTAGCCTAACTATTTGAATTGATCATTTTTAATATATTTATGTAGGTTGCTGATACTCCTTGTCGTTCAAGAGAAAGCCACATGTTACAAAATTAATAGTAATTTTGTAACTATTTACTATGAAAATAGAATTACTTCTTAAATTTGAATGAAATTTTCAATACAATATAAAGATTTTATTCTTATGGCATTAGACCAGGGTTTGAAATTATCAAGATAATTATTTTTTGGATTATCTGTAGTTTTAAAAATACAGAAAGGCATTCATAATTGAATAAAATTTTATTTTTGGTGTTTTAAACACTTAAAATTGAAAAAAGAAATATTACTTGTGAAATCACATTGAATGAAATGAAAACAGAAATAAAAAAATAAAATTATTTTTTGTTGAAAAGGGGGGCTTCTAATATTTTTTTGTTGAAAGTTTATCCTAGACAATTTCTTTTATCAGAAAAACTATATTTGATAGTTGTTTGAAGATGATTCTCTTTTATAACAAGTCATAAAGTACAAATATAGTTTGTGTAGTGTTTAATAACCATCAAGGTATATTTATCCAAATAATTGTCATGATAATTATCACTGTGAACCCTGATTCAGACTGCAATGTTTATGGTCCTTTAAAAAAAGGTTGAATATTATTGATTTCCATATAAAAAATTGTGATTACTTCATTGACATTATAAGACAATATGCTCACCATCCACTTTGATTCTTCTGAGTGAAGGAGCCTATCAAGCCACCAGTGGCTGATTTGTACACATGAAGATTGGGCTTACCCTATAAAGAATTTTTAAATATAACTATTTGGCAAAGTAGTATTTGTTGATTTTATACTATGAGTTAAATTGAATAGTTGAAATCTTTATTCATTACAAAAAAAAAGTTTACATGTAGCATTACACCTTCTAAGCAATGTCACATAAACTCTAGTCAGTTTTATTGTACATTAGAGTATTCAATGGTTTGTTTAATGACATACCTGTGGGTTCTCCTTTGTCATCATAAACATTTCCCATACCATAAAGAAATTGTCCAGAGGTGAAAAGAACATGTCTTTTATATTCCCCTCTATTATTGCTGCTACCTTCCAATCTGCACATTTTACTATTTCAGCCCTTTAAGCAAAAACCACATTAGATACTTTCATATAACTAATATATATTACTTAAATTGTTTCATATAATTAGGCCGCAAATATTTAAGTATTTATTAATCTATTAAATAATTTATAGCTACCAACTTTTTATCTGTTCTGTATGCGAGAGATGTGCCTTTGGGACTGAATATAATACTGCGTATATTTGTAGTATTTTCATCTCGAAGTTCCTTTTCACTATAAGGTTCTTTGAAGTCGACCAAAAATATACTTTTATTGGTTAAACCTGAAATTCGTCGCAGCCAGAATCAGTAAATAACCTCAATAACACAATCTGAAAATTTTTTGTTTAAGAAACAAAAGGTACATTACCAACGATGTGAGGTGTTGAACTCATTGTTAATGTGAATTTATGAGTCACTAAATAGTAAATTTTTCATTTTTATATTTATAATTATTTGGAAACACGCTATTTAACTTGAACCAAAAGTTGTCCAAACTTTTGTGTCATTTTTTTTTTAATTTTATCCTGGCTTTAACATAACGATGGACTTGTCCATCGTCGAATACATATTAAAAATCGAATACATATTAAAACTCGGATTTATCTCATTAATCAGAAATTTTCAATCAATTCTTAACTTTTCGTATGTCTAGTTTTCATTATTTTATTAGTTCCATCAAATTAAAATAAAAACCAATGATATAAGAGCGGGAGGTCAGCAATTTCTTCAACAAATGATAGCTAGCACTACTGTATTAATTCATGATATAAAATAATATATTTCCTCGTTCTTACTCATAACTAAGTTTGTTTATTTTTATTCGAAATTTTCCCTAACATCATTTAATAAAAATGCTGCTGATGGAACGATGTTGTTTTTGGTATCGTAAAAACCAAACAAAACACATAATATAGACATAACAGCCAAGAATTCGTCGTCTCACCAAGCAGCTGCTGCAGTATTCTATAATGCCTTCTCTCCCAATAATATTATTTTCAATTAAAATATAAAAATATTATTGCCGTAATGGTGAAAATGCGAAACTTAATTTTCCTCTCACTAAGGTATTTTTATTGCTTCCCTTATGATTATATTCTGTGACATTAAAAGTTTCTCTACTAACTTTGATCAGGTACCTATTCATCCCAGAAACGTACGTATACTACAGGTACTTTCCTCACCTAAACGTAAGATGCGTAGATCTCCTAGGCAGATAAATTTTTATCGCCGATTCATTCCCAGCTGCTCAATATCAAGCTTCATTAATTGACGCCATTGTTTCCACTCAAGGTAAGGGCGTGAAACCATTCCCATGGACACCTGAGCTCCTTGAACAGTTCGAGAATTGCAAGAAGAGTCTTAGCAATGCGACACTTCTTCAACACCCCGTAAACGGTGCAGAACTTGGCCTTTTCACTGACGCTTCCAGCGTTCACATCGGTTCCTGTTTACAGCAGAATATCAACGGACACTGGGCACCTCTTGCTTTCTTCAGCAAGAAATTAACTCCTCGTCAGAGTCAGTGGCCAGCATATTATAGGGAACTTCTGGCAGTGTACGAAAGTGTACAACATTTTAGACACATTTTAGAGGTCCAACATTGTACCATTTACACTGACCATAAGCCATTGTTGTACGCTTTCGTACAACGCCGAGAGAAACTTCCTCCCCCCCAACTGAACCAATTGTCCTTTATTAGTCAATTCACGACTGACATACGACACATTAAAGGGGAAGAAAATGTTGTCGCTGATGCAATGTCTCGTATTAATGCTGTGACCTTAGAACAAGATTACGAAGCTCTTGCCAAGGCACAGCAAACAGATGAAGAACTGGCGAACATTCGTAAAACCTCGTCTCTGAAACTGGAGCCCATTCCAATTCCAGGAACCAGTATCACCTTATTATGTGACACTTCCACTGGCAGACCAAGACCTTATCTAACGCCACAGTTCCGTCGATCCGCATTTGACCGCTGTCACCAACTTAGTCATCCCGGTGCACAGGCTTCCGCGCGTCTTGTGTCAGAACGCTATGTTTGGCCAAATATTAACAAAGATTGTCGCGAATGGACACGTTTCTGCATACAGTGCCAGAGAAATAAAATTTCAAGACATAATAAATCACCCATCGGACAGTTTGAACTCCCATCTGGTAGATTTCGCCATATTCACATTGATATCATTGGACCCTTACCATTCTCCAACGGATTTACATATTGTTTAACCGCTATCGACCGTTTCACACGGTGGCCAGAGGCTTGGCCAATGGTTTCAATGACCGCCGAGGAAGTCGCTGATAAATTAGTATCTGGTTGGGTAGCTCGTTTTGGTGTACCCAGCTCAATCACCACCGACCAGGGGCGTCAATTTGAATCCTCCTTGTTTCAGCGGCTGATGAACTTCTGTGGTTCCAAGCGAATACGCACTACTAGCTACCATCCATGTGCCAATGGCATGGTGGAGCGAATCCATCGCCAACTTAAGGCAGCACTCATGTGCCATGTTGATACGTGGACTAGAGCGTTGCCACTAGTTCTTCTTGGCATGCGGACTGCTTTTAAAGAAGATATAAAAGCTTCATCCGCTGAAGTGGTCTATGGTGAAACACTTCGCCTCCCCGGCGAGTTTTTGGCACCAGTGTCAGATTTTAGCAGTTCTGCAGAGGTATCTGATCTGGTTTATCAATTGCGAAAAGAAATGGAGACAATTCGACCAGTTCCTGCGTCGTGTCATGCCAAGCCAAAATCTTTCATATTTAAGGATATGGCATCGGCAACTCATGTGTTTCTTCGTGATGATGCAATTCGCAAATCGCTGCAGCCTCCATACTCAGGTCCCCATCGCATCCTACAACAACAGGAGAAAACGATCACTCTAGATCTGGGTGGAAGACAGGTCACCGTAAGCTTAGACAGAGTCAAGCCTGCTTACGTTGAAGCTGACCCTTTTAGGGACAACACTTGTTTGCAAACCACTGTTGCAGTTCCTCCAGCTCGTAGTCTCCCAGCTCCGTCCACAGCTCAGCTCCCTACCACTTCCTCCAAAGAACCTGCATACACTACCCGATCGGGAAGACAAGTACGTTTCAAAAAATTTAACGACTTTGTGAAATAGTTTTTTTTTTGTTGTAGGTTTTTCCACTCCGTGGGGGGGTGGTGTAGCGAAATTTATGTACCTAGAATATATACTCTTTATAGTTTTCATTTTGTTTATGTCTCTGGTGTACAATGATTATTACATAATCTCTGCGAGTGAGTAGCAACGCAAGAAGATAATTTTCAGTGGTCTTGATAATTATAAAATTCGTTGAATACTTAAGAAGCGTTTAACTTCCTATATCCAAACCATCCTAGTCGAAGTTGACATTGAATATTCTGGTGAATTGAACGATGTACGCAACCCCCAAATATCAAAATCAATTCAGTCTAGACTGTTACATATAACTTGTGAAAGTCGAAAACTTTGCCAATGGTTCGCTAAACTAAGGTCCCGCCGGATCTCATACTGACAAGAATCGGCAAGAAACTTAGCAAAGGCTGCTTATTTAATTTGAACTATACTATATTTGAGGGAACGTGACGATCTAACGCATCTGCTATGGCATAAGTATTTTATTTATAAAAACTATTTGATGGTAATATTATTGTATACCGTAGCTAAATGCCACTTTTAATTATATCACAGCATTAATTCAATTGATTTCCATAAATTTAAAAAAGCCTCTGTGCTCACTTCCATGATGATAGTTTCCATTTTCCTTTATACAAATAAAAAAGAAATTTATTCAGATATTACTTTGTATTAATCGAGTTGCGTTTGCATAACTCAATCTACTTAAATTTCAACTCGATATTAAGCCGAGTTATGAGATCCATAAAAACACTGACAATACTATCCTCTTTGGTTTTACGTCATGAATTGATGTTTAGATCCAACAATTTGTGCTGCTGTAGGATATTAAATGAGGTAATCCCACATAAAAATTCGGGAGTCGAACCCGATAAGAATGTTCAATTTAAACAGCACAAAACAACACAGTTCACGAGAAGGAAAAGAAGCACAAGCACTAAGAATGAAGGATATATTATTTACACACAGAATATAATTAAATTACAAGAAAAGAATTATATAAAATAGCGAAAGTAAGCAAATTATTAATTATTAGCAATGTGACGGTCGTACGCAAGCAAAGTTATATGCAGAGTTGTCCTTGTTCGGCCGACGGCGCGACGACGCGAGCAGGCACGCATCATCACGAAGCGAGCGCGTGCGACAAGGATGCGCATACGCCCGGCGAACTACGTAATGCGTGACGTCAGTCATCGCCGTTGGTCCAAAAGCGCATAAGCGGAGCGTTTCTTCGTCAAATTGTAGGGCGGTTGCCCAAGTATAATATTGGAGCGGATAGCTCGCCACACCGCCATCTAGTGACATAAATTTTTGTAGTTTCTTTATTTTTTTAATACTTTCTATTCGCTCAGCATCGAACCTATCATTTCAATAGTTTGACCTACTTAAGATTTGGCAGTATGGCTACGTTCCTTCGCCTGTCCCAGAGGACACAACATACTATATAGTACCTCGTAATAGTTTAACAGCTGTCAGGCAAACGTCCGTTATCAATAAAGAGTTCCGTTTTGATAATCAACATTTTTAAATGTGTTTATTCTTTAACCACTCTTTTAGAATAAGCAAGTATTTAAAATAAAAAGCACTTCCACTAGATGGCGACTCTAGCAAAAGTTTATTTTTGCAGGAAACGAATCATAGAGTAAGGTAGAGTGGAAATATTTTCTATGGTTATATAAATATTAAGCAATCTGAAGTTGACATCAAAAACATCATGTTGCCTTTTTTTAACTAATAAGAAGTTTCTTTAGTAAACAAAGATAACACTAGTGTGACAGTTCAAAATTTTTTACGTGACGTCATGAGATATAGCTATCGTACCACCTGTCAGCCATTTGCAAATTTGCTGTGCGTATTCTCGGAAGTAGTTCAGCTGTCAGTGTTATAAGTTGTGTGGTTATTTTCATTTATAACTTTAATTTATATAACTTTCATGGCAGAAAATTGTAAATTATTTATGCAAAACAATGCCTAGGTGCTGTATAATTGGTTGTGCGTCATCAATATCCCGCAAACCAAGCAATATTACGTTTCACCGGTAAGTTAAACACTTTCTTGGAATAACAGTATTTAAAACGTAAGTAAGTTATTCTGAAAATGATTGCGTGTATAAATCGATACATATCGTATTTTGGCGTGTTCTATTTATGCTATATTGCTCTTTTCGTTTATATTTTTATAATATTTCGGTCCGTAAATAATATTGTTTACATGGCTAGTGTTGTTACTTTAATATATGGTTTATATCGAAAATTTATAATATTTAAAAATATATTAATTATTTTAGATTACCAAAAGATGAAACAAAAGAGGAAAATGGCCGAGTTACATAGAAGCAGAAAATATTAAATGTAATGAAAAAGTTACTTTTATAGCGCTCACTTCATTTTAGGGAAAGTTGTTTGAATCGAACTTTAAATATAATAAAATTACGAGATGATGCATTGCCAATCAAATACTCTGGTAAGAATTTTTGACAGTTGCTTTTAACTTATTTTTTAAAAAAATGTCTATTACATTTAGTTAATTTTCATTTGATTTTACTGATTTATTTATTTAGTTTTTTATATAGTCATTTTGTTATTCTATAAATGTACCTTATTTTTAGTCTTGCGGTCATATGACGACTATTTTAATTGAAAAAAATCAGAATGCAATATATAATAATATTAAAATATAAAATTCTGAAATAAAATGAGTTAAATAATTTTAATAAAAATTAAAATATGCACACTTATCAAATTAAAGGCATAGTTAAAGGTTTTCTTTGCTGTTCAATAGTATAATCTTCATACCCAAATAATTACTTTGCGGCGTGAATGTTTATTTTGCTGATGCATCATAAAATAAGCTACCTTTTTGAATTTAAATTGCTGACCGTTATCATGATTGTTCACAGAACATGAATTGCAGACTGTTTTAGTGCTGAGAAAATATTTGTATGCTTGCCTATTGATTAATTGGCTGTTTTCTTCTTGCTAACCAAATTTTTAAATAAAATGCCAATTGTTACTTCTTTAATAATGTTACTGTTATGCCAATTGTTACTTATTCATCACCAACTTTGTTTTCTTTATTTTCTCTTGTTTATTCATCAAAGTTTACAGTATTTTAATGTTGTTTTACCAATAATATAATACAAAGATTATTTAGGTGTTTCAAGTTTTCTATGTTTACTACTAAACAAGATGTTCTGAACTAAAATTGTGACACAGTACGCACGGTATCTCACTTAATGATAAGGAAGCGAAATTTATTCAGTCAAAACAATTTATTGAATAAATTTATAGACAAGTTGGCTTACTAGTTACAAGCATATAAGAAAGTCGAAACTCTGTGCTTATAGTTTAGCAATCTATTACGGGAAACCTTGTACCGAGAAAAGAAGAAACTGTAAGAAAGGAACCGGTAAGAAACTGCAAGGGCTGCTTTTGCGCCCTGTTTAATTTCGTACTGAAAAATAAAAAATGACTTCATTGGACCAAAATGTCACTTTCCACCAAAACAATAAAAAATATATAACAGAGAAAAAAAAGCATAATAATTCATTCGTCAATCGACTCATTAAAAGCTTATTATAGTTACCGTGGTAGTTATCTTGGACAGTAGTCACACTGCCCGTGGATGCAAAATTAAACTTATGTTAAAAAAACTATTTAATTATAATTGCAAAATGTCAACTTGACAATATATATGGAAAAAATTATAAAACACGATTGATATTATTGTAAAAGTTTTAAGATATATATTTTGGTACTATAGTTCTTAAAACTATGTAAAATTGGCTATATTAGAGGAAAAAGAAACATATTTATCGAGGTACAATCATATTATAAAATTATATTATTAAATAATATAAATGTGAAAGTTTGTGAGGATGGATGTTGGTTACTCTCATGTAAAAACTACTGAACGGATTTTGATGAAATTTGGAATACGAATAATCTTTTACCCGTGGGAACTATAGTGACGCAACGGAGTCGCAAGAACAAAGAACGCAAGAAATTTTAGATGTCCAACAAAATACGAGCAAAAGATTGCTTAATGATTTATAAATAATTGATAAATTCACGCCACTTCTAAAAAATATTATTTTCTTGATACTGGCGTGAATTTTTCAATTTAATTATTAATAATCATAAATAGGATTGGTACGTAAGTGTGAAATGAATAGAAGTGTAATAGGTAATAGTTTAGCCATGCCCCTAACAATGAAAATTATATTATATTATTTAATAAGTAGTAGTATTGTAGCAGTTTCACGAAATACTAACTTTTATTTAATATGACTTCAATGTCGATACAAATATCGATATCTTGGGTCACGCCCTATGACAATCGGCCATCGAAGAATTTGCATTTGAAGTTTAGGCATATACGCTTTTGTCGTAGGTATGGCCGGTCCTCTTCTTTTATGTCTATGAAACGAATGGACCACAGATAGCCATTTCCATTCCTTTTAACATATTAAAAAACTTAAATTTGCTAAGTTCGAAACTTAGATATCAATACAAATACCAAAAAGTACAAATACAATATGAATTGCTTATTGAGTTTTGAAAACTAATTTACTTTTATACATAAAAGAAAACCAGAAGGGGTGTCATGGAGAAATCAAGAAAGTACTATAGCGACATCTAGTTTGATTGCAGGAGGTAATTTATTTTTTAAATACTTCCTTATTATATAAAACTTTAAATAAAATACTATGAATGAAAACTACGAAAACAATATTTTTTTCTTGAAATGAGAAGTGACGACATAGAGAACTCAGTGACCATGATTCGAAGCGATTTTTTATACATTCGTTTCTAATGGTCGCATTCTAACAACAATAAAAATGCTATTTCATGAATATATCTGAGATATACTATAAATATATATATTATACTCCGTTTTATTTAAAGTGGCACAAGATGCAATCAAATATGGCGACATGACAGTTTTAGTGATGGGACATATTTTTATGAATTTGATTCGCAAGCCGGTTTCAAGATGTCGCCATCTCTGAGGTCCCGGGTTCGATTCCCGGTCGGGTCAATGTATAAAATGAACTTTTCTATATTGACTCGGGTCTGGGTGTTGTGGTACCTTCGTTGTCTCAGATACTCCATAATACGTGGGCTTTAGTTACTCATCTTGGAATCTGAGCAATGTATGTGATGTTGTTAAATATTTATATTTGTTTATTTTATTTATATTTTATCTCATTCATGTCGTTCGGTGACTGACTTTTTCCATAAAACTTGTCTTAAATTAATATAACTATTCTCAGAGTAGCATAATATACAATAAATATTAAAAAATCCTAATATTATCATTACAACTGAACAAGTTTACTTAATGAAATACTACATATTAATTTAAAGCTAGAGTTTATGAGAAATAAATATTTTGCGATCCTCTGGTGAATATTAAGTTTATTACTTTTTACTCCCCAGTTTCACAGTAAACAGTAAATTTACAGTTTAAATTTGCCTTAAATAATGCGACACAAATGTTTAACAATAAAGTAATATAGAGCGTTTGAACCTATTTGTTTTCTTCTGAAATATTGCTTAAATTAAATTTATTGTATATTATGCTACTCTGAGAATAGTTATATTAACTTAACGTTGATTAAAGCATTTATTTTGCATGAAATTTATAAACATTGAAATTGACAATTAACAGAATGGTCAATTTTCTCTGTTTGTCTTTAAAATGTAACAAAATGATGTTTTCCTAATTGCTGATCATTTTTATATACACAAATTGACTATCATGACAAAAAAAAACTTTTAGTGTGAATTTTTTTCTAACCGGTGACTACTTTATGAAACTTTAATTTCTTAGCGGGATATCTTATCGGCCTATCTTTTAAATACACCTTACCCAAATATAGCACAAAATTTATATGTTATAGTGCAGTTGGTAACCCTAGTCCAGACTTAACGAACAAACGGACAACATGAGATTTGGCATTTGCTGCCGCACGCCCCACACATTCGTTCGCCTTCGCGTCGTTTGGGATAATTCTCGTAGAAACAAACGACTAACTGGATGGCCTCCTTTCATTAACTGTAAGCACAATAACTTGAACAAAACAATAAAAAAATTTCAGTGCAGTTGATTTTTCGTAGCGACAATTGATACTGTGCATGACACATGTTGAAATTAATTCTAACAAATTATGTCTTTCAAACTTTTTTTTTATTTATACGTATTTCGTTGAAGATGTAAATTAGTTTATTAATTTATTTAGTATTATTTTTTACTCCAAAGACATTTTGATATATGTTTACTACAAAATAACATTCTTTTTTAAAAATTATTTCAACATGCCCGACAAAGTTGCTTTTTCAATCACTAGCTTATATGTTCTTCTCATCTCTAGTTCTTTTTTTTTTGAACTGTCAGTGGTAGGTCAGTTGTTAGTTTACAATGTATTATTTTCGTGAAAACAGTGATTTTACTGCTTATTTCTCAAAAGTGTGTTTAAACATGGTATTAAAAGTAATAATTCAAGTTAACAAATCAGTTTCGATTGCATTTCGTTGTTTATATATATTTCGTTCATAATCAGTTTCGATCATTGCAAAAACTCCGTAAATAGTTTCGATTAGTTGTTTGTTTACATCATTCGCCACTTTAATTGTAATAAGGTATACTTCATTATACACAATGTTTGCTCATCTTGATGTTGAAAGGTAAGAATCGAATATTCTTTTTATCAATGCTGCTAGTGATGTGATTTATCACAAAATGTAGCTTATTTTTTACTAATTTCCTTTGATTAAGTTTTAAAATTAAGTCAGGATAAAAATTCGACTAACGCAAGTCGCATGTTTACAATGGCAGTGACATTTCTTATAGTAATACTAAACAAATATTTAAAGTATATAAAATAAATATATTATAAGACTTCTTATGTGATCAACAAAGTAAATAAATAGATAAGAATAGTTCGATTTTAACTAAATAATATGAGAGATCGAGTAAAAACAAGACTCATGTCGCATCACTAAACTAAACTGACAACTGACAATTTTGGATAAAATGGCGGATGCGAAAGTTTAGCTTTGGTTGGTGAGTGCGGTAGAAGTCAAAGGGAATAAATTTACTTTGAATAAATTTATCGCGATTCAATGTTTAGCAGTAAAATTCAGTTGCAGAAACGTACTCCCTACAATGGGACAAATCGAGAAAATTTCTTGTCCTTATTAGTGGATGAGTTTTTAAATACTACTTCAAAAGGTAAGCAAACAGACCTTTTTATTTTTCGGTCCATCATGAATACACTATTTCGAATAAATGTTGATTGTAAGCATCTTTTAATCAATTCACGAGTTTTACTTGTTTCATTGAATGTATCATAATTCTGTGAAAGTGACTACACATCAAACCTTAAATTTTCGCACTGGGAACTTGTTATGAACAATGATTATAGAAAGCCGCCAAGGATGTAGTTTCTGAACTTGGCCTCGTTTTCTTGTTTACATTTTGGATAATATTAAATCGTTAATCTTTGTTGTCCACTGTTCTATCTATATCTTTGTCGTAAACTCTGTTCTCTTTTCAGATGCGAAATGTCAGGTGTTAGCTAACTTAGCTAACTTCGCCTACGACCCCATCAATTATGTCTACATTAGGGATGTCGGTGTTCTAGATATATTTTTGTATGTTGTGAAGAATGAAACAGAAAATAAACTCTTACATTTTGCTACAGCTGGTATCTGTAACTTATGTTTAGGTAAATATTTTATATTCATGTCGTTTCTTTTAGTTGGTTTTTGCAATCAAATGCTTTAATATTTAATTACGTGTTTCAGATCCTTTAAATGCGGAATACATATTGAAACATTTGGGATTGACGCCTTTAACTGCATTACTCAATTGTAAAAGCACTGTGATTGAAGCAAATATTTTGACAATACTGCTAAACCTTTACAATGAACAAACGAAGCTAGAACTACAATCGGACGAAATCAAGCAAATCATTTTGGATCACTCAATGTCAGAAGATAAAATGGTGTCTAATTTAGCAAAAATATATTTGAATGACATCTTCAAACTAAACAATCAACTTTAAATACCATTCAAATTATAAGTTGTAAAGAAGCCACAATAAAATGAATAAAATGCTTTCAAATAGATTTCCATATTTTGTTGTGAACAATAAAAACTATCAAAAGATATGCAAAATACATACGTCATCATTCAGTAGTGCAGCATTCAAGGCTGGCGACAAAATCCGAATACAGAAAACCTTAACTCAAAAGGACTTGGATGCATTTTCGAACTTGACTAGTGATCATAACTACTTGCATCAAAATAATGGTAACAAGAGGCCCATTGTGCATGGTGCTCTGTTGAATGGTTTGGTTGCTGGACTCATCGGCACTCACTTGCCTGGTCCTGGTACAGTGCTTGTATCACAGACAATTAAATTTCCCAATAAATGTTTTGTCGGTGAAAAACTCACTATTAGTGTGGAACTAGTTGATGTGAGGAAAATTCTTAAAGTGAAGTTTTATTGCATTGTCGAGGAAGAAAAGAAGGTTGTGTTTGAAGGGGAGGCCAAACTCATGTTGGCTAAAGACTGTTGAATATTCAAAATTATTTATTACATTATTTATGCAGTTCATATAGTAATATGTAAATGTAATTAAGTAATGATATTTTGAATTGAAGTCCTAAATATTGTCTAGTGCCAATAAAAAAGTCAAATTTATAAAATAATAATGTTAAAGTACAACATAGTATTAGCTCAAATTGTAACAGTATGGATTTTTTCCGATACTTCCTTAAGGGATTCTTTAAAAAGATCTGTCCATAGATTGTACAATTATTCAATAATTAATTAAGACTGATAGTCTCTAATCAACTACTTATACATATATTTAAAATGATTTGCCTCTTGTACAAGTTATTTAAATTTAAGTACAACTCTACAATAATTAACACCATCTATGTCATTAACTCGATAAATCCATTGAATAGTGTATATGTTTACAAAGAAATGATATCAAAAATAAAATATTCTATATTATAATTCTGCTTTGTTAAGAATTTTTGATGTTTGTCAATTCTCACTTACAAATAATAGTACATATAAGATTTATTTTCAATGCATCATATTACAAAAATAGGATGTCAGGATATATACACCAGTAATAATAATCAGCGGAATATTGGCATTCTAAAATACTATTGATCAAGTTGTAGTATTCAATTTGCATTAAAATACGGAATAGTTCTATCACAAGTGGAAGTTCTACCAATACTGATAGAGGACAAGAGAAAATCTAATTATAATTGTCTACTCAATAATGGCATATAAGTGTAAATGTTCCCTTCATTTGAATTATTCAATATAAATATCAGGAATGCTCTACTCTGAATTTTAATACAAGTTTATAGTGTGCATGCTATATTATGTTGTTGTCTGTAAGCAGTATTGTTGATTATTACTGCACTTTTCGTTGTTATTTTAATTTCTAATAATTAAGCAATGTTTGTTGTTTCTCCTTTGTTGTTAATTTTACAATTTATGCTCTCAGTTGCTTTCACAAATAAATGTGAATGAAAAAAATGTTTATTTTATTAAGCAATCTCTTTGTTAAGTAGATCATGTATCTATTTTTAAATAGTAAGACTTTTATCCAATATAAGATCCTGATTATTAGGCTTGATTCATTATACTATAGTTAGAATATGATGTAGTTTTCAGCATGTCAAATTCTATATAGAATTATGTAGATGTTAGGAATGTTTTTCAGATTTTAATAAACATTTTCTAGTATGTCATCCATCAATTATAATTAAATATAATAATTAAAATAATTGGATCTATTTGAATGGCTGTGAAGTGTTTATGATTTCCATGTAAAAATTCATTTGAACAATATAATTTTCAAAGTTGTAAAACGGTCATTCAACCTTTTTAAGCAACTTGTCAATCAAATTTGTCTATGATTTTCCTTTGTATATAAATTGACCGTAATGTTTGGTAGTTTGTTTCTACGTTGCCCTATCTAAGGGGCAAAAATCATGTAATTTTTCAGACATTTGTCAAGCTTGATTGGCCTTGGTTTCCAACAAAGGCAAGATTATGGACAAAGACAAATATTTTAGTAAGAGGCGCTTAAAGTAAATCGCTGATATAAAATTTTTTGCGGATAAGATAAACTGTATTCTGGATAAAAGTCCGTCACTGATAAAGGACAAACGCAACAAAGACGTCGATAATTAGTTTATTGAAATGTGACGTCACCCGATGTCCGTCATGGCCGCCCACGAATCGGTTCTTGTTATCCACAGATTATAAGTGTCAGTTAATATTGCAATAGTTAACTATGCTTAAAATCTATTTGAAATCTGCATCAATATTGTTTACATAAAAGTAACAATTTCCGACATATTTCACAGTTTATTGTTACAACTATCAAGTACTCAATTCTCGTAAAGTTTCAATCACATGTTTGGGTCACCTTTATTAAAATCAGGTACTGGTTATAGATTTTTAACACCTAAAAACAGTAACTAATAGTAAGTATGTATTATATAATAGGTTGGGAAAAAAATCTTCGCATATAGTATGCATAAACTTGTAATAAAATCTTTCTGGCTATGCCATTTGTAACTAACTGGTTTCGGTGTCATTAAAAGGTTTACATTTTAAAGAAGATAACTCCGAACTCAAATTAGGAAAATGTGTTCTTTAATTTGTTTTTCTTACTGTCACAATGAGAGAAATTAATGAAGCATTTCGATACATATTAAAATTTTATTACAAAAAAGGCTTATTTAAAAAAAGTTACTATGGACCTAGTGCAGTTTCTGTGAGAGTAGCACAAATTTAGTTATGCGTTTTCAGTTCGGAAATTTTGATGTCAAAGATGCTCTTCGCTCCGGTCGCCTAGTTAAAATGGATGCCATTTTTGAAAAAGTGGAGCAAGATCGGCATATCAGTAATTACGACGTAGCTGAAGAACTGGGAATTGACCACAAAACACTTTTAGCGCATTTAAAAAAGTTCGATATTTGGGTACCTAATTAGGTCACTGAAAGAAACCTAAATTGAACCAAGTACTCATTTGTGATCCTTTATTATGGCGTAATGAAACCAAACCATTTTTGAAGAAGCTGATAACTGGTGATGAAAAATGGATCACGTACGACAATATGCACGAAAAAGGTCAAGGTCAAAGGTCGGTTAGCCTTCATAGACTGTGACAAAACCCGGGTTAACTCGCAACAAGGTGACGCTGTGTGTGTATGGGGGGTTGCAAGGGCATTATTCGATATGAGCTGTTACCGCCAGGGAGGACCATCGATTCTAAACTCTACTGCGAACAACTGATGAGATTAAAGCAAGAAGTTGAAAGTGGCCAGAATTAATCAATAGGGTTTTCATCATGAGAACGCTAGACTTCACATCTTTTGCTATTTAGGAAAAATTAAAAGAGTATGGTTGGCAGGTGTTTATGCATTCGTCGTATAGTCCTGACCTTGCATTTTCGGATTTCCTCCCGTTTTGGTCTGTTCGAAATTCTTTAGGCGGTGTCAGGTTAACATCACGCGAGCACTGCCCAAACCACTTGTCGCGGTTTTTCGATTAGAAACCTAACCTAACCTACAAGATGGCAAAAAGTTATCAAATAAAATAATATCTACATACGTTAGTTAATGTAAATAAACTTTATTAATAAAAATTTTGAATTTTCATATGAAATGCGAAGAAACTTTTCCAACCTATTATAAGATAAATAAAAGAAATATAAAAATTAACTGGGTGTAATTCGAATGAGTGGCATCTGTTTTCGGCGCGCTTTTGTGCTTATGATATCTTTTTCTTTAATGAGTTTCTTATGATATTGCTTCTAAAATAATCTAGTTTATGGTCTTTGAATAGATTTTTCTAGTTAATGGCGATTTTATTTTGGTCAAAATTAAAGTAAAATATATTGAAAAATCTCTTTTTCAATGCCATTCTTGTAATAATTCTACAAAATTAAGAATGCACAAGCAAGACTATGCATTTAGTTATTCTGTTAGGTAACCATGATGTTCTAAATATGTTCAAACCAGATGAGTAAATGTAGTCTGGAAGTGAGATATCACAGCTGGACCTCCTGTGAAGAGTTACACGAATGTTTTGGCAGTTAAATGAAACGTATGGTAGCTACCGTTTAACTTACCAACACCACAGTAAATCTAACAATGTAATAACGTATCCTACTTGTATACTGGGACGGTGTTAAAAAGGTGCATGGAGAACAGAGCCTCAGTAATAGGGTCTCATGTTTAAGCTTTTGGTAAAAATAAGATAATGACGATCTCCCAACGATTTGCTTAGTAAATGGGTGGTACGCGCCAGTTGAAAAATAGAAAACTACCTACATCATATTTTGAACGAAGATTAGACCAAGACTTTATTATATAATTCTCTCGATAAAAATAATAAATTCCATTAGAGTTGTAACTCTAATAATTATTAATTATTTTTAAGAAAATATGTATATTTTCTTCATTATTAATATGTTTTACATCAATTTTATTCAGGTTTTAAAGCAAGTCGCCATTTTAATGTCTCACGACCATCGCAATTTTGCATTCATCTTTATCTATTTAGTTTTATTACGTATAAATCTAATTCTTAACCTTTTATGATAATGTAGGACGATATTCATGAAGCATCTTGCCTGGCCTACAATTATAGTTTTTCTTACCGATTAGTGAAACTTGTATCAAAAGTATTAAGACTACATTTGGTCATAATTTCAGTTTGATATTATCTTAATGATAAAATTTAATAAAATGCTTACAATGACTTGTCCAAGGAGAATATAAATGATAATATACATTACCTACATTAATGACGTATTTTTATTACGATATATACCTTATTATATCTTTTACCGAATGAACGACACCTTGATTTCATTTTTTTATCTATATTAATTTTCCCGCTATTTTTCTGTAGCAACGCCTGCGTTAATTATAGCCTATGTCACTCGCGTATAATAGCTTCCCGTCTGTTAAAGAATTTTCTTAATCGGATCAATGTAAGGAATAACAAAGTTGTAAAATTTACGTCTTTATAATATTAGTACTTATAGATTTTTTAGGTTTAGTTCTTTCATATCTATCAGAAGGTTCCTATTTAAACCTGCTTTGATTTTGCGGCATAAGTTTCGTAGGTTCTTCGGTTATTTTCTGTTTTTCTACTTAAGAACACAATGTAAAATTAGTTTTTTTGTAAAATAATTAGTGACCGACGGAAACTTCCACACGAGGATCATGTTTTGAAAACGTAACAGACAATATTATTTTCACATTTACAATAAAAAATATGGTTGCATACAAACAAAAGTTAAAGATGGCTTTCGTTTATACATTCAGTCAAAAAGTATTGGGAATGGATTATTTGTTTATGGTTCCAAATTTAAATTTTGATTTTTTATTGCTATTAGATTGGCACAACTGTTCCATTTTGGTGCGGAGTTTTAGTTGCATCTGTCTGTTATTTATATTAAACTAGCTGACCCGACAGACTTCGTCCTGTCAAAAAGATTTGTAATGTGGCAGTTTTTTTGCCTACGTATTTAAAAAAATTCTCCTGAACAGAACCGTCACCCTGGTGATAGGGCGTTGTGAATAAAAAATCCTATCCTATTAATATTATAAAGGCGAAAGTTTGTAAGTATGGATGTATGGATGTTTGTTACTCTTTCACGAAAAAACTACTGGACGGATTTGGATAAAACTTTACAGCAATATAGGTTATACATCAGAATAACACATAGGGTACTTTTTACTGGGAAAACTTCTCACTCCCACGGGATACCGACTTCCACGCGGACGAAGTCGCGGGCGTCCACTAGTAATTAAATAAAACATATATAAGGATTTAAAAGTAAGTAATCGCTTTATTGTTAATCATGTGAATCATAATTATTATTATTATCATTGTAGTGCTTTGTGGTATACGATGTTTTTTGTTTGATTACCTGGCGCATAGATAAACAAATCTGATGGTTTTCCAACACGGGAACAGGCAACATACATGCTCCAACGCACACACGCACATTGTTTTGATAGATATGATCTTTGACGTTAGGAACACACCTACATTGCTTAGACAAACTTTATACCATAGCAATAAAGCTCAAATTGACTACGTTTTAGTTACAAATCATTTGTATGGGAAAAAGAAAAGGGCTATTTTTAGGGTTTTTCCAGCAATAATTCTATTTTTCTCGCCGTAAAAACCATCCTTGAACTTCAACGAACATTTTAAAAAAAGATTTGGCCAAATTGGTCGAGGCGTTGTTGAGTTATGCGCTTACCAACACATTTTGCGATTCATTTTTATATATATAGATACAGAGCTGTTTTTAGTGTGTATTGCGAATTTTATAATGGACAAAAACATCAAACTAAGAGTTTGTCTTAAATTTTGCATCGCCAGTGGAATTTCGTGTTCTGAGTCAATGAAAATGTTACAGAAAGGAATCGACTTACGGTGAATCGACTTTATCAAAAACTTGTGCTTATGAGTGGTGCAAAGCGTTTAAAAGCGGTCGAGATATGATGGAAGATTTGCCTCGGTCTGGTAGGCCATCAACTGCAACTGAAGGTAACATCGCAAAAGTGAACGACAAATTGTCTGAAAATAATCATTCAACTTTGAGAGAGATAGCCGTTGAACTTTCTGTATCTCACGAGTCGATCGGTGCCGTTTTTACTAATCATTTGGGTATGAAACATGTTACCGCTCGACTAGGCCCAAAAGACCTGATTTTTTTCCAAAAAACAATTGCATGAGAGTCGCTGAGGACATGTTTGATCGAGTCAATTTCGAACCTAACATTCATGAAAGGCAACGGTAACGAGACGTAGGTTTACGAGTTTGACATGCAAAGTAGCGAACACACTTCAGAAAAGAAACCGAATTAACCACGCCAAAGTTGTTCAAAAATCAGAGTCATGTTTACTGTTTTCTTTGACTATCACGGAGTTGTGCACTCGGAATTCTTGTCGGAAGGTCAAACGGTAAATAAGGAATATTATTTGAGCTTTATGCGACGTTTATGAGTGCAAATTCGACGAAAAAGGTCTGATTTGTGAAAAGAAAATCCTTGGATTTGCATCACGATAATGTGCCTTCGCACAAAGCCATGATTTTGAACGAATTTTTGAGCAAACACTCGACAAATACCATCGAGCAACCACCATACTCACCAGATATGGCTCCAGCCGACTTCTTTCTTTTTCTAAACTCAAATTACCACTTCGTGGCACTCGTTTTCAATCGGTAGAAGACATAAAGGAGAATTCGCAGTGAGAACAATTCCGGAAATAGCGTTTAAAAATGTTTTGATGATTGGATTATTTTTTGGCGTAAGTGTATCTTTCTCAAGGAACATAATTTGAAGGTGATAAAATAAATTTGGATGAATAACAAACAGTTTGTGTATTATTGATCTTTTCCCGGTACTTTCTTGATATAGTAGTATCTTTTTCTTGCGTTAAATAACAAAAGTCGTGTGATACGTAAAAAAATATGTAATAAATTCTTATTGCCATAAATTTAAGAAAAATACTTGAATAAAGGGATTGTTTCAAAATGGGCTCGAACCTAAAATACGTAGTTTGTTTTCTAAATGTTGAGTAGGATTTCCGATTTTTATAATATAAAAAATACTTTTTGAAATTGCCATTAAAATTTACGAGATACCGTGCTTATCGTGTTATAAGTTAATCTTTATAATCATATCAAAAGATCACGTATTAACTCCTGATGTTGTACTATAGCACGTTCTACTTCTGATAATCGATTAGCTGACTATGAGATTTCCAAATGGAATTCTTTACATATTTTCTATTATGTTTATAAAGCCGGCTATGCTTCAGATTTTCATATAAACGATTTATCGCTTTTGTAGAGTAGTGATGTGAAAAGGAAAGATTTGTCTGTGAGTGAAGGATCGTTATTTTTCAGGTAAGTACATTTTACTAAATATTTAATGAAAGGTCTTTAGGATATTAAGAGCAGGTTTTACTTCACTGCTTATTATTAGTGTTCTACAAAGTGATTTTGTTTAAAATTCAATCAAACTGAAAATAGGAATAAAAATTATAAAAGGTAAACTTACTCAATACATTTGATTTGAAACCAGGAATGGTAAATAGTCATCAAGTTTTCAATTTTAAAGTCTTTGAAAACTAAAAGAAAAAAGTTATTGTTAATAACAAAAAGTAAAACATATTTACACTCAATAAGGTGCAGCAGTATATTTTAGAAGAACAAACAGCCCCACTTCATCTAGAGACCACCACCGCAAGTAGACCTCTGTTAGTAGGGAAGACCTATACGAAGCGCGGTAGTTACAAAATCCACAATGTATAGTCTGACGTGCGGCTATGTGTAATTTTACAATTTTAATATTTTGCAATTTTAATATACCTAGTTAAGATGAAAATTATGAGTCATTATTTTATTTTTTATTGCGTTTAACAACCTTAGTTCCTTCAGAATACCTAAAACTCGTACATTTTATTTCTTTAGCGGAGAATCGATTGTATATTTTTTCAGTATCTCAAATATTAGAAGTCTGGTGCTCATCATGAATCACTACAGCATTGTGCTGTTATTCGTTTGCTTGAGCTTGGGATTTTTCGTTGAAGGACGTAGAAAATATAAGCGAGAGGATTACGACAGTTTGAAGTCTGCCGAAGAGTTCGACTTCAACGATGATATCGATGAGGTATGAAAAAATTACATTATTAATCTCTTTTGTTACCTACTTATTACAGACGTCCATTAAGGTTTAATGACTTCAAGCTCTATTGAATGTTCTAAATTTGAAAATTTTTATTGTTAATCTTGCTTTGGACTTAAAATTGTAATAGATTTTTGTGCAACGGGCAGTTAGCAATGCTTAAATATAGCTTACAATTGAAAAAATGCAGCAGTTGAGGTACGATCAAATAACACCGATAGCAAAAGGTTATAAAGGCTTTATAACACTTTGCTATCGGTGAACCCCCAATGCTGTGACATCGCTGTGTTTGAAATTATTTTTAACAGCAATAGCAAAGAAATGAAAAACACTACTACCAAAATCAAACTAGTTACGAGTTCGATTTTGACTGTCGTGTTATTAAATTCAGTATTGTTTTTTTATTCCTATTAGTGAGCCGTTAATTGTGTAGACGTTATATAGCTTTTGAATGTACCTACTATTGCTTTTTTATATATCTTTTGAATGTACTATTATTATAATTAATCCGCCATATTGAATTTTGATACGTCACCGTTGTCAACGGTACCTATTAGTTTGGCTATAATGCAATACTTAAAAAACTATTCTCGGTAAAGTAATACACATATTTGCCGTTAGGTAGAACGCCTTATAGTGCCAAATGTCCAAAAAGGGAGCAAAGGCTAAAACCTTGTTTTCTGAGTGCAGTATTTATCCATGAAAATAGAACAGATTTTTATCTGCCGGATTTTTTCAGCTGGAGCCATGCCAGTGCGGTGTTTTCATGTCAAAGCAAGTCGGCTTGAAGGAAGGCAGACGAGGCAGGCCTCGAGGTCCGCCAGAAGGCGAACCTGTTGTCACATACGACACAGAGGAACCATGCGGTGCGGGCGGCTTTAAGAGTTGTGTTTCCAAATGTCTTGATGTGGTAAGTGTCTATATAATTTGTTTGAATGCTTAAAGAAAATAAAGGTTGGTTCATGACATGTAATACAACTAAATATACTTAAATATTTAGAAATGTTAAAAGTAAATACAAAAACTATAAAAAAGGTTTTAGTAAAATATCGTCGACGGCAACGCTATTTGTTGGTTCAATGTTACTTTAACATATAGAACATACAGTCGTTCCAACCTCCTTTATATTGGCCTCTGTGGTATGGAAGTTCATATATGGTGATCTTATATTTATTGAAGAATTTCGTTGACCATTTATGTAGTCCTCTAGATCTTGATGTCATTAAACTACTGTGTTAGCTGTTCTATTGAAAAGGTCTCCTGTAGAGTTCCTACATGAAAATAAATATCTATGTGGAGATATTATTTGGTGAGGGTCAAAAAAATGAGTAGGTATATTAATAAAAATTGGAAATGTCAAGAGGAGACTTGCCTCCTAACGCAACTACTTGAAATTCATACAACTATCATTGACATCGAATTATATGTTAATTTAACCATATTATCTTGATTGTGTACCTGGAATTGATTATGTTAGACGTATTATATTATATTTCAACTAGTTACATTTCCAAACGTCAAAACTTATCTGAAGTTCATATCAATAGTAACGCGGCTTTAATAATGATCCCTTGGTCTACAGTGATTTTTAAGACGACTCGCCCCTATGTTTATTGCATGAATAAAATTCAATAAATATTTATGGATATTAGTAAAGGCACATAGAGCAAACGAGCGACGACCATATTTTAATTTGAGCATTGGTAATAAATCTTGACACGGTAATTAATTCTATAAATAAAAAAATTAGGCAGACATTTGTCTACTTAACGGCATTTGGCAATGTTAATTTTGTCTTCTATCTGTGTGGGAGCGGTTAATATTAATTCGAAACACCCAAGCGGTAGCGTACGGCAGAAAAAAAAGTTTAATTATCTATTGAAACTTTTTAGAGCGTTTTCAAATGAACATTCAAATTGGTAAGTCGCATGTTGTAGATTTCTATCGGTTACGCTAATAATATATTAGAAGAAAGTATTATAGTTACTTATTATTATGGTCAAATTGAATTTAATGTTAAAATAAAAAAAAATATATATATAGTTTAACAACAACATACGATAGTGATAATTTTGAAAGAAAGATAAAGAAAAGATATTTCATACCACACAAAGAATGATAGACACTGAATAACAATAAAAATACCACAAGGCATGTTAATGTAAGATGCTCAATTAGCACTGTGAATCATAAAACCACAACGTTGTATTTTACTAAATTTACTCGTATTTAAAAAGACCATTACACTTTTTATACATAGTAAGAATTAATAATATAGCCAGCAATATATGTTATAGTAAGGATAAGACAGAAGTAATTAATTGAATATTATTAACAATTATTATTTTTAAATCATTATTACTTTTTGAAGTGATCCTACGGTACAACGGGTACAACGTATGTATCAAGTTTTCTTCCTTGGTCCTAAGTTATAATCATTTAATTTAAGATTTTCATAGGATATAAATTTCTTTCCCATTATTATTATTATTGCCTAAAACAGCAGTTAATGGCTGATAAAAATAGATTTTATTTGTAATAGATTAAGATAACTCGATGATATCATATAAAAGAAGTCGTGAACTATAAGTAATTATTTTAATTAACATCGGTTATTATTATTACTTATAACATTAATTACATTTATTATTACATAAAAGTACAAACAGTTACAATTGAGGATTTCTTTAAAAATAATTACTTGCTTTTTAGCAATCCACAAAACATGTTGATCCTTTCGAAGACTTTATTTTCTTAATGAACTGTTTTTGGTGCCTTAGATTTTGAAATACCTGCCCCGAGCTGGTCCCGTCATCTGTGGAGCTGCAGAAAGGGACATACATAGAGAGAAAGCTTTCCTTTTTATAAAGAGTTGCGGGGGAGAGTGGACACCAACGAGCTTTTCAGCAGGCAAAGAGTTTTGTTGCACTGATGGTCAACATCACAAGTGTTAAAAACTTAAAATGAGGTTGTAACAAAATCGTGATCTTAAATCTTTGACTTGGCTATCTTTCTGCAAAAAGTTATATGCATCATGGACAGAGGTCGGTTACTTTTGCTAAAACTCTTTAAAAGTTATATGTATCATGAAAAGAGGTCGTTTACTTTTGCTAAAAACAGTTTAAAAAAAAACAAATAATGTGTGAAAGGGATTGGTTCCACTTACGCATAAAAAAAATTAAAAGGAGTTTAGGTTTGAATAGTTAAGTTAATTTATATGTAGAGTTATACTTTTTTATATAACTGTTATATTTAAATAATTATTTATATTAACATATTAATTATGATAAGACAGTCGTGGATTTCGACGTACACATCACATTAAATTTATAAAACTAAAACTTTATGGCAATATTTCGTGTTTTAAGAGCTTAAAAAGTAATTTAAGTATATTTTATGTTTCGTAAAATTCCATATTTTGTATCAATAAATAATTAAATATGTTGTAACTTGGAACTGAATTTTTATTATGCATTCTAAGGCCTTATAGTAAAATATTTTTTTAAAGATTCTGTTACTTAAAGTGGATTAAAAGTGGATTTGTAAAATTTTATCAATAGAAAAAAAAAATCTGTCATTATAATTGAGAAACGAGCCTGCTGCATTACAGCAGCATACCACTGTTGAGAGTTTACCACGCTCTACACTTGCTATCACGCCGACTTGTTTTTTTTCCCGACTTGCTGAGGACTCTTGGAGGTTTGTTGCTGTTGGTTTGAATGCCAGTTTCATCAACGTTGTAGATCCGCGTTGCGTCAATGCTATGCTTTTCGATCTCTCCTTCGAGTAAGTCAAAAAATCTTAGTACTTGTGGTTTGTTAAAACCTCTAGCACGTGCTATTGATGTTGGTTCCGGACGGCGAAGACTCAAGTCTGGATGTCGATTCTTAAACCCCAGATACCAATCTTCACCAGCAGTTTCATTTTTAAATGGGTGTGGAATGTTATTAATCTGAGCATACTGGAACACAAGCTCTAAAAATTCTTTTTTAGTAAGTCCAAAAAATAAACTATCCATATGAAAAACATAATTAAGAAGTTCATTTTCTTGACTTGTCGTAAAGACAGTTGTGTACCTTCCAAGTTTCTTTTCTGAGCTACCTTTTTTAATATGCCGCTGTAACGTTGGCAGATTTATGCCGTACTTCTTGGCTGCAGCGTTGACAGAACCTTTGCCAGCTTCTTCCATAGCACACTTCATAACTGCCTCATCCCAGGACGCATTTGAAGTTTTTCTTTTATACTTATTGACCATCTATAAATAATAATAAAAAAAGGAAAAAGTAAATTAAACGACATTTTAGTCAACTAAATTACAACACTAGAATTATGTTCTTGTCCTAGTCTATTCCAGGGCAAATCGGGTAGTCACCCGTTATGCCCCTACCCGTTTTGCCCAAAACACGTTGTAAATTTCAACTACCGTAACCTAAAAATTGTAAACACTGGCGACGACTAGGTATTCACAAATAACAAGCACATTACTTGTAAATGATTATGCAAAACTAAGAAGAACATCATTTGCACTATATTCGAGTAAATAACACTAGCATAAGTCGTTTTTTTTTTAATAAAAATAGTAAAAAACTTTGTACACCTGTTTATACGTAAAATCAATAAATATTTGTATCACTTTGTAGCGTAGGGGCTATGCAGTAATTTTACAATAATCTTAGTATAGTTTATAATTAGTTAAAAACCATTTTTGGTGTGCTACTAGCTTTTTTCTGCTTCTATCCTATTTGCCAATGAGACAGACAGATGCATTATTTTGGCTATACTTAAGAGAAAATTAGTTTACATCACTAAAACACTTGTTTTTTATTTAAAGATACAAACGCATTACTATAACTATTTACCTAGTTTGAGAATAATCTCCTCACTAAAACGAATCGATATAGCATATACCGTATTACTGTCTTTCGATCAACTAAAGCGCCTATAAAAACTACGTGTACGTATCTATTTAGTTGTTTTTATTTATTTATATTTATTACATATAACGGTAATAACACAGATTTATTAGATAGTAAAGAGTACTTTAAATTATAAACTATTATCAGAATCTTACCACATATACAGAGGAGAGATTTGATTGTTGTTTGTTTGCTTCAAATAAGATTTTAATATCAGAATCTTACCATATTATACACCGGAGAGATTTGATTGTTGTTTGTTTGCTTTAAATAAGATTTCAAAAATTCTTTCTCTACACAAGCTACAGCTACATAATCTGCTATAATTTACGCGGGCAAGATCGCTGAAGAACAGCTAGAATATCTATTTTGATAAAATAATGCAAACTGAATAAAGGCAATGTTATTGTGAAGGATATTGAATTTAATATGATTAGGAGTCGATTAGGAGATTATTTTGTGACTCTAGATAACACTAGTGAAATAGTAGTAGCAAAAAGTATTATTAGTACGTACTAAGTTATAATAATTTGATGATAATTAAGATTATTTCCAGTATAGCATTGTTTTTTGGAAAATTGATCAAATATGGTAGAGTTTTTTGTTGTTGTGGAAAACTTAGAAAACACACATTTTTCTACGCTACGACCATTATTTAAGACTGGCCTGTTGCTAGCGAATAATGTATCTATGGAATATTTGGAATTTATAAAGTCTTTTTCTGAGACTTAAGTTCATTGCTAAAATAACTCCACCGATAAGAGACTTAAACGTTACAGATACCTATCGCAGATATGCTTTAATTTTTATTGTAGATTTGAAATTGAAGAAGCTATAGAACATTTAATTTATTCCGTCGGTGTGGCACCAAAGACGTATTGTTCACACAATAAACACAAATACTAACACTCGTATCTATAGTTGACAGAAGTACTTACTTGAGAAAATGGCATTACTAAAGCAGATATTTTTAAACAATAGACAAGAATTTGAATTAAATAAGAACTGTCAAATAATAATAGCATTCTAACTATTAACTTCTTGTTTATTTGCTAAAAATATTTGCTTAAGTAATTTACTCGATTATAGATACGGGTGTTAGTAATAGAGCAGGAACATTGAATGGCTGATCTGTCTATATTACGGTATCAATGGACCATCAAGGACTTGTCTAGTATTACTTAGAGACGTTCTCGGACGCAGCGGGGAGAGGGGGAGCGGTGACCCGGATCGTGTAGGGTGAACAACCCCGCCACGTGCCACTTTCTAAAAAGAAACGCGCGTCGCCTGCGCATCCTTGCGTGGACAGCTGGATTCTCTATGGCACCTGACGACAGATTAAAAATAAATTTTGTCGTTATCTGTTACGTGTCTTATCCTAGGATATATTTATTATCTTACCTTTTAATTTTTATCAAGGGAATGTTATTTTTGGACGGGTAAAGTATGTTTTGCCTTAACTAAACTAGAACAATGCAAGTCTAAGATGAATCTGGAATCAATACTTCTCTCTTTAAAACTAGTCAAGTTATCTTAATATATAATCGAACATTTTGAGAGCAAAAAAAAAAAACATCATATCAAAAGAGACTCCTGCTCACTTAATTTATACTTTGATTATCAAAAATATTCCATTATTTCAAGAGTTTTATTTTCGACACATTATTGCAATCTGTTGTTTAACGTAAAAGTTGAGCGATATTATATTATGCAATATAAATATAAGTTATATTATAACTGTTTATTTTTATATTTATTATTATATATTTTATATTTATTACGTGTTCTTGTAAGCTCTTATTATCATAAACTGTTCGCTTTTGTGTCTTAAACTGTAATATGATAAAATACTTACGCAGACTATGAATGAATGTTCGCCCGTTCGCCGTGGGAAATTCTATTTATACCTTTTAACGGAGATACACTTATTTTATCCCATTCAAAGGTTAGATTGAATAGTGCGCTTATAAGATTTAGATGTATGAGATAACAAAATATTAGGTATAAATACTTGCTGTCTTCAATGGGATTGAAAGCAATGTGAAATTAATTAGATAAAAAAGTATTTTCTAATTAATTACTTTCTGCGATGCGGAAGTTCCTAAGGACCGTTCATAGGATGGGCGACCAAAAATTTATTATCTTCTCCGTGCTTCGGAAGGCACGTAAAGCTGATGGTATCAGCTACAGCTGCAGTCGTTTGTCATTCATTTATCCGTATTGGGCCCATTTTCTCTATTCGATTTTATCCATAGGCCCAGCAGTGGGAGAATGAATGTTCACTATTACAAAGGAGTTCACTACAAACTAGTATTACAATTTGTAATTATACCTACCTAAAGATAGTCTGAGTAAATTTTTACAAGCTTATCTTTTTCTCGCATGATCACCAGCCTATTAATGCTGGGGCTCAGGCCTTCCTTATGGATGGATCGAATCCAGTCTAACAGGGAAAATGGGATTGCAAAAATTGCTTAACAATCATATCGCAAACCGAGCTCGCTAACCACTGGGAAATTGAGTTCCGTTTTCGTTTTTCTCGCAAAGTGCAGTATGAAAATCGATTCTATATGACTATTGTTAAAACTCGTACGTTAATTCGTATATGACACCTGTCCTGAGATTTTGTAAAAATCTAAACCCAAATTCCATCCAATTCACTCAGGTGTCTGAATTCACTTCAAAAAGCAGCACTCGCTCAACCTTGAATTATATTCAATCAATTTTGTTTTGTATTCTCATAGAAAAAATAATTTAACGACTGCGTAAAAACGAATTTAAAAAAAAAATGAGAAAATTAACTTAAATAAAATCTAAAAAGAAAGAAACAAGCCCAGTACCTAGTTTAGAATTGTGTTAAGTAAAACAAATCATAAATTCTAATGCAGAACAGAACGACTCTTAGTCGGGGTCCCTTGAGATATTATTTTAAAATTTTAATGGATTTTAAAATACCTGTTCAACGACACCCCAATTGACATAGTTCATCGATTTTTTTTATTCATTTTGACAATATGGCGTCTGATTGTCGCTGTGGTGAATTTTGATTACTGTCGTGTCTTTAGTGACACGAGCTAGGTTAAGACGAATCGATTGACGTAAGAATCATCAAAATCGGCCTACGCATTTGGTCTCTAGATCGCC